TTTATTATTTACACAGAACGTTTCTGGGCTAATACTTGCCCCTTCATCAGGTGAATCATCAGGTAATTGATGAAGGGGCAAGTATTAGCCCAGAAACGTCGTGTGTAAATAATACAGAAGTTGCATATCCATATCAAGTGTGTTGTATCAGCCATGACAGGTTAACATTAGTTTTGTGAAAAAACTTGTGTTCTTTTTGGAGTGTGTAATAACAGCTATAGGAGACAAGAGACAATAACAGTTTGTTATAGTCGTATTTGGATATAAAAAATGTGTCCTTCCCCCTGACCTATCCTGAATTCTCCTTCCTAGGCATAGTGGCTATCCCCACATTGTACACAGATCTTATAATGATATCCCTCCTATCTTCAGGAGGATCATAGACACCCTCTGGGGTCGGCTTCAACAAACCACCTCCCATTTAGTCTGTTTGACTGTCACACTCAGCTGGATGCCTGTTTTAAGGGATCCATCACCCTATTGTCTGACTTGAACCATAAAGACTTGTCTTGACACTTTACAGTTGGTGGAAATAGTCCGAAGATGAGTGAAAGCATAGTTTATTGGTGTGTGACCAGGTTGCTCTTGGTGTTTTGATGTGTTGATAAGGACAGTGTTATTTCCTTCTTACCCTGTTCTAGTAGTGATGACTCCCATTTGTTTCAATTTCTTGTCCAAACTTGGAATCATTATCATATGTTCATGGTTTATCTTGCTGGCTGTGGGGATCCTAGTTTCTTTTGTATATAATAGTGAATCTGTGGCTTGTTGTGGCTCTGCCTGTGAGAGGTGATGTTATGTATCTCCAAGTCAGAGTGACATCAGTTCATGCTCAGTGTTGACAAGTGATGTCATACGTGTGAGTATCACCGTATCATGTCAAGCTTGTCTGGTGATAACACCGTCATCAGTGTTGACAAGTGATGTCATACATGTGAATATGCACCGTATCATGCCAAGCTTGCCTGGTGATAACACCGTCATCAGTGTTGACAAGTGATGTCATACATGTGAATATGCACCGTATCATGCCAAGCTTGCCTGGTGATAACACCGTCATCAGTGTTGACAAGTGATGTCATACATGTATGCACCGTATCATGTCAAGCATGCCTGTATCACCGTATCAGTGTCAAGCATGCCTGGTGATAACATCATGTCAAGCATCCTGGTGATAACACCATCATCAGTGTTGACAAGTGATGTCATACATGTGAATATGCACGGTATCATGCCAAAATTGCCTGGTGATAACACTGCCATCAGTGTTGACAAGACCACAGTGGTCCCCTGATTACAGGTGTGACAGTTTGCACCTGAAGCTGATTTCCATGCTGGCCTTGTCAGAGTGTGACTGGAATTAATCAGGCCTGTCATGGGAGAGTTCTTACTGGAATTACTTACCAAGATTAATGCAAGATCATTGTTTGGGCTTACTTCAAGCTGTAGACAAATAACCCTGCCTTTCATATGTCAACAGTTTTACTGCAGCCATGTCAGACTGATATTAATCAATAACATATGGAAATTTTCAGTTTCTATGAATTCCATCTATCCCTTATAATACAAATTAGTCATGGCCAATTTAATGTGTTTTTTTATGAATGTCCTAGATGCAATGTCGATGTTCAAGGATTTATGTAAAACAGGTTCATTTCAACACAATAGTGCCCAATTTCAAGTCAGGTGAATAGTGTCTGATTACATCCCCGACTTGGGGACTTGGAGGGTCAGAGGTGATGTGAGTGATGATGGCAGCTTGTACTGCATAAATGGTGTTACTGTAAGACTATACATCACTACCGCAGTAGAGAATTGACTGGATAGGTCTGTCAGTGTAACACTGTATGTGTTATTTAGTCTTTAATTATTGGGCCATTTGTCTGTGGCCTTGTTGTGGTGTGAAAATGTCATAGCTTTAAATTAGAGTGAGTGAGTGAATATGGTTTTACACCGCTTTTGGCAATATTCCAGCAATATCACAGGACACCAGAAATGGGCTTCACATATTTTACCCACATGGGGAATCGAACCCGGGTCTTCAGCATGATGAGCGAATGCTTTAACCATTAGGCTACCCCGCCACCCCTTTAAATCAGAAGACTAAGGATGATCAACATATTTCCTCAATTTCCCAAGCCCAGAAACACGTGTCTCAAAGATATTTTAGCACTACGATCATCATAAACCTATGTTAAAGCATTGGAGATACAATCACTTTGATGCTCAGGTGGCTTTGATGAATGGGGCCCAGCTCTTTATTTAAGGAAATATGGTAATGATGACAATATATCTATGTATGAATGAAGTCATTTTACATTATTAGACAAACCTCTCTTAAGTCTAAACATAAAGATCCAAACCTAATATAAAATTGCATCTTAAGTCTGTGTCCAAACCAGAACACACATTTTCTAACTGAGGAGTTAGGGGGCAGGGGGTAGCCTAGTGGTTAGAGCGTTCGCTCATCATGAAGACCCGGGTTCAATTCCCCACAAGGGTACAATGTGTGAAGCCCATTTCTTGTGTTCCCCGCTGTAATGTTACTTTAATATTATTAAAAGTGGTGTAAAACCAAACTCGCTCACCGAGGGGTTAGAAAATGTTCCCAGCAACCTAATGTTAGCCATAAGAGCCATATGTGGATTGGGTGGTCAGCATTTTCATGTCAGTCTACGGTGTATCAGGACCAGGGGAATATTTATAGGTTGTAATATTCTTGAAATTCAGTACATGCACAGCTTCAAACAACAACCAAATATGTATCTGAACCAAAAGCATGTCACCATCATACCTGTAGTCCACCCCCGTTACCAGATGAGGGGAAAAAGTACTCTTGAGACTTTATATATGAATCCTAGATTGGCTCTCAACAATAATAGCCATTGTCATAATTGTCGTACCAATCTCCGACACCAAACACCAACATGAACAACCAACAAGCCCGACACTAAAGCCTAACATCCAACAACCAGCCATTCCAAACCAAGGCCATATTCAGCACTGATCATGGAGTCAGTCTGTGTCATAAATTGTGTGGCATTCTGTGCAAAGCAGAATAATTAAATTTAGTTACAACAATAAATGATGAAAGTAGACATGGAAACGACCATGAAATAACTATTCTCGATATGGTTCTAGATTTATGACATCTATAAAACGTTATTCCATTTGTACTGAAGAATAGACATGGCTCATTATGTGACATTATTTATGATTAATAACGTTCAAAGGCTTCTTTGAGTTCAAATCGATAAAATGATAATATTCCATCCTAACTATGCTCCTGCCTCAGACTAAATTATCGTGTTTGGAACAATAGTTACTGCCATTCGAGCAGGTAATCAAATCTGTCTTGTTCCAACACCTTTCATTGGCCCACAAAGCCAGAAATTCCTGTATTTCTGTGTTCAAATAAAGCCCTAGAACACAGGACTATTAACTGGAATTTATTGAGTGGCGGAATTCCATGGTGCTTAGGCGGCAATGACTGCTACAATACGTGAAATATAATGTGACAAAGCAGGCCAGATATCGGCTTACTGTGCACGTCACCTCTGAGAGCAGGACTACAAATAAACTTTGTTTGAATTCAAATTTTGTGTTTGTGGTTGTGAAACAAAGAGATGATGATTTCCTCAAATAAAATGTTTTGCATGTTTGTGCAAAGTCTCTGTCAGCCGAGATGATTACGGGAAATCTGTTGAGCCAGTATTTCAGAAGGTATTCCTGACAGTGTAGCACTCAGAACAACAGTTCTCATAGCACTACTGTTCAAATTTTTTTTTTAATGTATAAATGAATGTCAGATACAAGTATACACAACTATGTGATCTACACTGAAATTCTTAGAAAGCTTATAAATGTCACAATTGATCCTTTTGCTGTCAATGCTGCATTCTTGTGTTTCGTTGTTTGAAGTCAAATAGCTCCACCTGTTGTAGGTAGGAATAAATTGTTTCAAAACTAGGAAGACAGGTCCATTGCCCGACTTGTTGCTTAATATTTTATATACCTAAGGGAAATAATGTTGAAATTATATAAAACATAATAGGTGATGTTTATCACTTTATAGCTGTGAATATTTGAAGTGTAGTACAGGGAGATGGGAGGTTGTCTTGGGGCTAATGGAGGCAATTGTCTTGGTGAAACAGTTTGATCTTTTATGTGTTGCCTCTGGTTTGTACAAAAGTAATATCCGAAGTAAATGTTTTCCATTTGCTCCTAGCAATGAAATGATTCAATATAAGTCCGACATATCATGCACAGATTAAACTTGGTGCTAAAAGGACTGTTTCAAGCTTCAAAGAGTCAATTCTAGTTGACATATAAACAAAACAAATAGTTAAAAGATGTTGGAAGATTAGTTGGTCAAGGTTTTGCATCATACTTGCACCATCCCTAAGACTTATGAAGGATATCATATATAACATTCTGTGGAAGGTCTTAATGCATCCCTAAAAAGGATTGATATAAAATCCCCAGGATATATATTCAGTATATAACATTCTAAAAGGAAGGTAAACTCAGTCTGAATGCACACAATTAGAACTCCTGTACTTCATCAAACATGTAGTGTCATCACAAAGATTGCTCTGTGCTAGTTGTCATCAGATATGTTCATGTCAGTGCAACAATGTCACCAAGAGTGGATATTTTCCATTAAATCTGCCGCTGCCTTTGATCAGCTTTCATCCAATATATCCTGTCATCTGTTTTATATTGTTTCCTTTGAAAGCCTGGATGGCCTTTGCAGGACAAGGGATAATTTCATTATTCTACTCTCTCATATAGTGTGTCCCCAGGGTATATCTGTATTATAGCACTTTCTACATGAACATGACCGGTTGTGTAAATCTGATATCATACAATGGGAGTCACTTGTACCTGACCATTAGCTGTCCGCAGGGTCAGTGCTGGGTGATAACATCACTTATCACCTGTGGTATTGTTTGATGTTGGATTGTGCTGTAGGCTAACGTGTGCCTTGTCTGTTGCAGGTTGGAGTCCCTGATGTGTCTCGATCGCAGTCACATTGAGGATGAGGCCTTGAGGCATGCCCCCTGGTACCAGGCAGGAATACCCAGGTATGATACCCAGTCATATTGCCTCTCCTCATCCTAGAACACCTCAAAAGCTTGATGTGGGTTTATAAACATTAATTTCTATATTGTCCCCACGCATACACCAATGCATAAAAGTGAAAGCCTTATGCAACACAGACAACAAAAATCAGTAGCATAATGTTTCATAAGTTACTTCTGTAGTAAAACAGGCTGCTAGCATAGCCGATCCGGCCTGCATACATCCAGTCCCTATCAAAAGTTGAGTAACTTAAGTACAAGACATCATAGGCGGGTGCTTGAAGAGGAGGTTTAATATCTTTTGACACTGCCCAGACCTGGGTAGGTTATTAATTAAGTTAATTTGAGTGGTCTGGAAAGTATGCTTACAGTTGTATCTGGCTGTTAAGCAGGTATGTGTGGAGGGTACAGTCAGCGCCCCAGGTGTCAGTGTTCATCCCCACCATGGGTGGCCTGGTTATCTGGAGGAGATATAAGGTGGCAAATATTGTATTATAATTCCCCATCATCTATCAGTGTTAACCCAAAGAAAACATGAACCTTGTATGTGTGGAGATATGATGTGTATATACCATTGTGGTGGGAGGGGAAGGATGAAGTCTGGAGCTTACACAGGAAAAACTTGAACATGACATTTTAGAAGATTGTTCTGAACTTGAAATACTTTTAAAAGATGACAAAATTATGGCGAGTATTAAATCGACAACTATATGCATCAGGAGTTGGAAGGGCAGTGGGGTAACCTTGTGGTTATAGCGTTTGCTTGTCATGTCGGTGATACAGGCTTGATTCTTGCACAGGTATAATGCGTGAGGGCCATCTCTGGTGTCTCTGCCGTGGTGTTGCTGGAATATTGCTAAAAGTGGCGAAAAACCTTACTGAAAAGTGGTCTCTGTCCATACTTGTTAGATTTCACAGCCTTATTACTTATTTGTTCGGAACCCCAGTCACCCGCAGCATAAGTTTCCAAGGCAACCCAGTTTGCATCATTGGTTTCTGTTTAAGAACATTTGCTTGTATTAATTTCTATAATGGCAGATATATTGATGAAGTCCGTCCTGCTGTCCATGTTATACATGATGAGGTTCCTGTTGTTGTAGGGAGATCGCCCTGGAGATCCTGCAGCAGGAGGATGTGGGGTCTTTCATTGTGCGGGACAGCACCACACACCCCGGCTGTTTCGCTTCTGTCTGTTCGAGTGCCAAAGTATGAAAACTCCAGCGGAATTTCACATTATCTTATAATAAAAACACAGCGAGGAGTCAAATTAAAGGTGAGTTTGTTAAAACCAGCGTCTTATGCAACACAAGGACCTGTGGTTAATATTTCACAGCCTTTAGCAGGTGCAAGTAGAATGGGGATCATGTGGACAAAATGGATGCCTTGTGTGGCTGCATAGATGGTTATGAGGATGGACATCAGATACGATAATACAGACTGTATGGTTTCCAAGGAATTGTCCAGGTTTTCAAATTCATTGTTTTATGGTTAAAGGTCACATGCAATGTAAAAGACAACTTTGCAGATTCTGATACCTTTCGGTATGGACTTACTGAAACAAATCATCAAAAATGCAAATTCAACTTATGAAGTGAAAAAATAACGCGATGAAAAAAACCACGCGAAATCGGAGTTCAAACGACTCCCTAATTTTCGTGCAAATGAACCAGCCGTTACACTTGAGTGCACACCCACCCGCTCTGACTGGGTTCGGTATCCCGGCTGCTTCGTTTCTAGGGAAGAAAACCCAAGTACAAAATATTGCACTTTTGATTTGCGATTGTACGCTTATAATTTTGTTTATATGTTTTTTCATAATCAGCAATGTATATTATATGTCATGAATAAGTGATAATTGTGTTTTAAATATGTTTGATTTTTTGGTTGCATGTGACCTTTAAATATAATGGTCCTCATTAGTCCAAAACCTTGCTTGCCCAACTATTACTGCACAATGGAACACTTCATGTATACACAAACAAGACGCTCTGCTTATGATCCCCTCTGTCTATATTGATAGGAATCCACACAATTTCACTGAGATTGCCACAGTCCACATTATCAAGGTTTTACTGTATGGAGGCTTATCTGAACAGGGGTGGTGGGGTAACCTAGTAGTTAAAGCGTTCGCTCATCATGCTGAAGATCTGGGTTCGATTCCCTACATGGGTACAATGTGTGAAGACCATTTCTGGTGTCCCCACCGTGATATTGCTGGAATATTGCTAAAAGGGCGTAAAACTAAACTCACTCACTCACTCACTTATTGGAGCAGTTGTGAGACTTATGGTGTTAAACTGTAAATGAAGCAGGTTCAGAGTGAGAGTACCACCAGGAACATTACCATTACTTGCCTTCAGCTTTCTACCTGTATAAGTTTTACAGTGACAGTTATTGGGGTATCTGATTGGGAGATTATCAGTAGACCTTTTCCAGCATCTCACTACCAAAACGAAGATTACATTATAAAGTCAGGCAATGTTGTAGATGGAAAAGTTGCCAATGTAGTGCTCCTTTCACCATGGAACTTCTTGTGCACTTATCAAAGCACAATTGCCTGGCAGGTATTAATGTGCCTTTAGAATTCGTGGAAAAAAAAGACAGCCATTATCCACCGGGCAGCGGTGGAACCTTCTTTTGTCAGGGGAGACAGGGGAGCTATAACAGGAAGTACTGATTAAAATGGTTTTAGGGACACAACCCATTATCTATGTCATACTCTGAAGGAATATTCCTGCTTCACGCTGGTTGTCGGTGAGCTCTATTGTGAGCGACACTTGGATCATCTCTGCTTCTTCCACTGATCCACTTCATAACACACGAACGTGGAGTACATGTCGCTTGAAGCTCTGGCATCTTTGCCATATTTGTTCGCAGCAACTTGGTCTTGTAAAAATCTTCGTGAAACAGAAAAAAATAAGCCAATCGACATTCTATTTCCAGCCCACTTTCCAACTAGATTTCAGAGACACTGAAAACCATTTACTACATTGAAATAGCACCAGTGTTGCTGGTAGTTAAGAGGACAATCACTGTACTTTTTTAGAATGTTAAAAGTAAATGCATTGCAGACATCTGTAGTAGGTGTTTACTGTCACGCCATGTCGTTCCCTCGAAATGAGCTTGCAACCTCTCACTAAATTAACTTGGTTGTGTAAGCTGTATTGATATGTTAAACAAACACAGAAGAGTATAGTACCAGTTCCATGCTGTGTGAGACCATATACATTAGAAGGACTGCTCTGTTCTCTTGTGGACAGTAAGTCTAAGTTACAAAATGACCGTTCAATATGTCTTTAGAAACATATCTCTTGACTATTATCCCAGAAATCATGGCATTATGCCATCAACATCCGTTTTAGCTGAAAAGCTGCTGAGAATAGTTGTATAATCTGGCGTCTTAAAATTCCTTCCATTCTTGATATTGACTAACTGTTATATCTTCCTGGTGTGCAGTAATAAGCTGTATTACCATATACAAGTTCACAATCCCAAGGATTTAGGTTAAGTGTGCTTAATCTCTGGCAAGACCACATAGCTTACATGTTAATGCTAAGGTCTAGTGATTAGCAGCAAACATGCCAGTGCTTAAGACCAGGTCATGGGGATTACCAGCTTGGGGATAAGACTCTATGTTGACATAGTAAAGTAGGCATGATGGAGTGGTTCTTTGGTTGGGCTTTGGGTGCATGGATGACCAAGTCATTCAGGGCACCGTACAGAGTTGTGTCCTTTAGGGACACCAGTAACCTATAATTGTGGGTATCAATCCTGGTTCACCCTGATTTTATTTCTTGGTTGTCAGTACGATGTCTATCACTTTTAGCTTCATAATGATGTAAGAATCTGCATTAAAATGTCACTCTATGCAATAAATAAGAAGTTGTTATTCATGAAGTCACAGGCTTCATTACCGTACCTTCATTGGGTTTCACCAAAACGTCCACAAAATGATAACATAGCTGAACTGCCATACCAAAGTAACGGGGCTGGAGCAGAGCCCCAATAAACACTGCTGATTGTGACCGGCTTCCTAATCCATGAGGTGGTCAGGTTTGCCAACACCATTAATTATATGTCAGTTTATAGTTAGGGTTATGACAAGCTGCTCTTATTGTAAGGCTTAATAAGGGGAATCGGTGGCCCCGAATATACTCTTGTGTCCCTCAGAAACTGATCATAAAACCCATTTCTGGTGTCACCCGCTGTGATATTGCTGGAATATTGCTGAAAGCGGCGTAAAACCCAATTCACACACTCACTCCATGTGCCCCATGTTTGTAAATTTGTGTAGTGCATGTGTATATTTATTGGTTCCACTCACTCACTCCACCAAAGTGGTAGACATTTAAAACCTGCAGCAACTCCGGGTTTCCTCCCAAAACCAACTGCCATGCCGTGATATGATCAGTGTTAAACTAGCTCTATCTTATATTTCTGTTCCGTTATTGGCGAGTTATTTGATTGTTTTATGTTCCTGTTGTTTCAGGGCCTAGACAAGGAGTGGTCCAACCTGACAGCCCTAGTGATCCATCATACAGTCATGCGGGAGATGCTGCCCTGCACTCTCAAGCTGCCCCGCAAGGCCAACAACCCCACGTTTAAAGACAGTGATAAAGACGATCGTGAGGAAGATCCAGACTATCAAAGGCTGTCCGACTTCTCCAACATGATGGAACAACTGAAGATGTGAGACGCAACATGTTTGTGTCGGGAGCTCTGACCCAGAGGTCATGTGACCACAGCTACACTGGCACTTTTTGTGATTTGCAAGAATGTGATAAGAAGTGAAATCTACAGCAGGATTATGTGTGGACATTGTTTGTATGCCGCTGATTTCCAATTTCTCACACACAAGAAACACGTTTTCAGTTTTTCACAAAGGCGAAAATTAAACAGTGAAGACACTGACATCCTGGATTAAGAAATCTATGTTCTACAAATTGTGTACTCTACAGAAATAGCTCCATCAGCAATGTTAGGTGTACCTGTAGTGTACTAGTTGACAACAAGAAACAAGAGTTCATAATCCTGACTGGAAAAAGTCCCGAAAAAACTGTGTCGTCTGAGATCACCTTTCATCCTGAGTATCAGTCGTCTATTTCTGTGATACATCGGGACGAGGAGGGAGTATTGTGGTGTTCATGGTATGTGGAAACAGACTGACATACCATACAAGGATCGCATTCAAGTGGATAAACCTCTAACTCTCCCTTCTCAACTGTTTAATCTAAAGAATCTACCGTCAAAGCATGTCGGAGCAAATGTTTACTTCATGATTTCCAAAGTTTGCGGTAGACTAAGCCCCGTCGTGACATCAAGTTCCGGGGACTTAGTGACTTGTTGATATCTCTGTCACAGCGTCACCGCCAGTGTGCCCTGGGTTATCTCCCTTTGTAAATGCCGCCAAGTCTTTCGCTAGCCGAGTGTTCACTGCCGCATGATGTCGGCTGGCAGATGTCTGTCGCCGATGTCCTACAGACAGTTTAATAACTTGTCACAAATGTGCTGAAGAACCATCTATGAAATTGCATGATGGGAAGTGTGAATGGAGGAGGACCTGACGTATAGTCGTGGAAATACCGAGTGTAATCGCAGGGTGTGACATCAACTATTTATCTAGCGTGTATGAGGTCATGTGAATGTTGTAGTGGGATAGTTACGAGGTGTTTCTGTACATTACGCTTGTACGAACGTGTGTGGCCTTCGTGCAACACGTGCTGACAATAAGTGTCCTTCCTATAACGTTATGTTGTCAGACTATAGCCAGGGAGGTTTGTATACTGTATCTGTGTACATATAATGTATGCATCTTTCACCTACACAAGTCAGGCCGATGACATCTATAGTCTACCTGGAACATCATCTTGGGGAGACTTCAGAGTGCTTTGGAACATTTCGAGACGGTTGTTCAAGTTGTTAGTTTCGAAACTGTGGAATTAAGGGTAAATGTATTTAATACTTCAAGCCTGAATAATATCAACATGAAAACACCTAAAGGTATGACCTTTGTGAGATTTGACAATATATCTACTAAGGGTAGCAGGCCATTGTTAATTTCAACCATTGGCAGATTTGGTATAAAATTTGATGAAAACAAATGGCATGACCCCCAATAATCTGTTTGTAACCAGTATGAAGGAATCCTGTGAGATACAGCTTGTTTATTCCCTAGAATGTTGTAATGGTGTAACAGCATGCTCATATATTACCCATCTTCCCTCCCATTGTCGTTGTTTGAGTTGAGACCATATCGGAGACTAACCTATATCCTAGTTGTGGTATACATTGGCCAGTGCTAGTCTAGATTTACCCCACAGACTTTGCCAGCTAGCTTCACCCTCCTCACTCAAGGAACTTTTCCGAAGGGAATTGTTTGCCCTATGGGGCAAATATATTTGCCCAGAGTCAACTTGTGAGGAGGCTGTAATAGATGAAAGTTAACTTCTGTAAGATGCAACAATAAAACTCAAAGTGCCACTATTTACCCATATTCATGTTTCGAGGGGTAAATATGTCAGTTTTTACAGCAACTGGTTTGCTTTTTCTGCCTTGAACAAGGCACAGCCATAGTTTTGGATGATTTCTTGTTTTCTGCTTGTGGCTACCTGCCCACTGAGTGGAAGAAGCAGATATTGTTTGCCTTGCCCTGTGGAGGGAGTATTGTTGATTTGTTTGTTAGCTGCCCAGTGGTACACTGTCCTAGTATCAGCCTCTGTCACTAACAGAGCTGAAATATTGCCGATGTGACGTTAACTATTAACTCACTCACTCACTAACAGAGCTACGGCACTACGCACTACTTGGGGAAAGGTTCAAGCCTTTATGGACTGTAGTAAATGAAAATGAAGCTGATATGTGCCTGATGAAAATTAGATCCAAAGTTTAATTTCTTTTTTCATTGACATTTTGAGGTAAAACTATAGTTTCTGGCCCTTCTCTGTCTTGGTATCTACTTTTAGAAACATTTCTTAGTCACCTTCATTATAATTTTTTCAGTCAGTACAAGTTTTTATTTACATACTCTTCTATATTGTTACTACAACTATTTCAGGGCTATTTCTTGCCCATTCCTCCTTCCCCAAGTAGTGTAGAACACTTGTGTCTACCATCAGGTGCTTACCAAGAAAATACAAAATGAGAGTGAATTGTGTGAATTTAGTCACTTGTAGCCCCTGTGTGTGGTCAGACTGACCCCTGGTTATCACCTAGCATGGGTTCATTGTCTGTCACAATTCATCCACAACCAATGGCCATTCAGGAGAGTTATGACATTTATCATCCAGGTGATAACTGCTATATTACATGTATTTGGGAAACACATCCTTGTATGGTAAGAAGAAATTGGATTCAGACAAAATTGCAGGTCTTACGGTCCCCATTTATTGCTTCCATATCGAATATTGAGGAAACTATTAATCAAAGTGCTAAGTAACCAGTCTGTAGTTTTAACAAAAAATAATGTAAATATCTTTACTCTATTCAAAGTGATGTGGATAGTTTCTGGTTTGAAGAATAAACATTATTTTGCACAGGAGAGTTTGAGGCCAGACATAATTTTCCTGAAGGAACAGAAGTTGTGAGGATCTTCATGATTCTTTGAGAGAGATGACAGATTCAGAGAAACTTGTACATGTTGTATATTATATTTATTTACTGTTTAAATATACCTAATATAATCTCACCTCTCTCTCTTGAAGGATCATAATGCATCCTTTCCATTAGTTTCCTCAGCTTCTTTCAAATGTGACTAGTCTAAGGGAGACAACTCTAGCAATACCTGTTTGTTTCCCAAAAGAAAGAAGTTGTTGGAATCTCTCCAAACCCTTATTTTGTGGGTGAACTATTACAACGTATATCATGTTGATCTCAAGTCATCAGGGTTGAAATTGGAAGAGGAAGAATTCTCATTGGCATTTGACGAAAGTTTACCCAGGAAATAAAATCTCGTGTTGGGGCATGGAGTACCACTGTTCATAACCTGTATCTGTGATTATTACATGATAACCATGCAACTCATCGTTACATTGTCTCACATGTTGGCAATAAATGCTTTTAAAAATAATGATCATGTTTTCTTGTGATATTGATAGTCAACTGCTATTGTAGGGGGGGGTGCAGTGGGGTAGCCTAGTGTTTAAGGCGTTGGCTCGTCATGCCGAAGACTCAGGTTCGAGTCCCAACATGGGTACAAAGTGTGAAGCCCATTTCTGGTGTCTCCCGTTTTGAAATTGCTGGAATATTGCTAAACACTCGCTCAACTGCTATGGCTTCCTGATATGTTCAGTATAACAGCGTTGATACAAGAAAAGGTGCCATGCACCATATTCCCATTTGAGGAATCCTGTCTTTCATGTGATCATGGCTCACCACTGCCCTTCAAGGTGGAGGAGCTGCCATTACATTTTGACACCTTCGTTCTGGAACATCCTTCACCTGGGTCGATTTCCATTATTGGAGCAGATAAGTGCCGAAATAGTTCACTTAATGATGAAAGCATGAAATTTGCCACGCAAAGATGGCTACCATTTTTTCAAGATGGCCACCATCTACACAAAAATTTACTAATAATTACTTTATAAGTTGTAACTACTTCAAGTTAAACTTATTTAAATTTGTATGACAAAATGAAGTTGTTTTTATTACAATACCAAAACAATACATAAATCAAAATGGCAGTTTTAGCAAAAAACAGTTGAAATTGTACCTGAACTAACTACTGCACCCAGAATAAGAAAGATGCTACACTTCACAATTACAACTGCACAAGGCTGTGCATGTGATACCAAACCGGTAGCATTTGCACCTGCCATGACAGCCAGACTTGCAGCCACACTTAGTGAGCTGTTCAAAACTGTTTGTAATGGGAGAGTTGGCTGTTCAGGGTTTTCCATTCTTCGCCAATCTTCTCCCATCCCCAGTCGGGTGGTGGGGTAGCCTAGTGGTTAAAGCGTTGGCTCGTCATGCCGAAGACTCAGGTTCGATTCCCAACATGGGCACAATGTGTTAAGCCCATTTCTGGTGTCTCCCGTTTTGAAATTGCTGGAATATTGCTAAACTTGGAGCAGATAAGTGCCTGAAATAGTTCACTTAATGATGAAAGCATGAAATTTGCCACGCAAAGATGGCTACCATTTTTCAAGATGGCCACCATCTACACAAAAATTTACTAATAATTACTTTATAAGTTGTAACTACTTCAAGTTAAACTTATTTAAATTTGTATGACAAAATGAAGTTGTTTTTATTACAATACCAAAACAATACATAAATCAAAATGGCAGTTTTAGCAAAAAACAGTTGAAATTGTACCTGAACTAACCACTGCATCCAGAATAAGAAAGATGCTACACTTCACATTTACAACTGCACAAGGCTGTGCATATGATACCAAACCGGTAGCATCTGCACCGGCCACGACAGCCAGACTTGCAGCCACACTGAGTGAGCTGTTCAAAACTCATTGTAATGGGAGAGTTGGCTGTTCTGGTTTTCCATTCTTCCCCAATCTTCTCCCATCCCCAGTCGGGTGGTGGGGTAGCCTAGTGGTTAAAGCATTGGCTCGTCATGCCGAAGACCCGGGTTCGATTCCCCACATGGGCACAATGTGTTAAGCCCATTTCTGGTGTCCCCCGCCGTGATATTGCTGGAATATTGCTAAAAGCGGCGTAAAACTAAACTCAGTCAGCTGGACTCTCTGCTTCTGGCTGGCGCAGAAGCCCACACACTACCTGCCTGATATGCTACACATTTAGCGTGTTGAATTAGAGCTGCTCTGGTTGGACTACTGCACTACACCTGATACTATTCTACTACAATAGAGTTAATAAAGCTGGGAGCGGCATTAGTAAAGCTAGATCAGCTGACACTGAATCCATGCTGAGTTACACAGCAGTGAAGTCACCAGTGTGCCCTGGTTGTGCACCGACATTCACTCTGTTAGTATACCAACACCTTGTAAATATTTTTACATCCTTTGAGAAAAGTTTGAGATCAATTAGAATCTCTGACCCCCCAAACTCTGTAGATGAAACAAAGTCATTCATTGTGACAGATGCTGAGATGAGATCAATACTAATTTTGGACGCCATATTTGTTTTAGTACTTGGAATTGAAAGCATGACAAAATTAACTTCAATAAATGAATAAACTGGTGATTGAATGGGATTATAAACCATGATAAATGCATCAGTAACAACCCTATGCTCGATGGTGATGCAGTTGGCCTATGGATGGAAGCCATCTTGAAAAAAGAGCCAGCCATCTTGGATTTTTGCGTGGCTACCGCCCTTTTATGAAAGAGTGGTCCTATGAGAATGTATGTGCCAAGTTTTATGCTTACATGATTAAGTGAACTATTTTGGGTCATTTTTGCATTTATCTGCTCCACTACATACAGAACATGGAGAAATGTACTCAATATTGGAGACAAGAAGCACACAAAAATACAAAACCCAAACTTCAGTAAACAACATATTTATTCCATTACATTCTTTACAAAAAAATATGTGTCCTGAATCATGAGAATAACAGCCGAGGCTTCCTACACAATTCACCAAGCAAATGAAAATATTGCGTGAAATGGAATGATTATGTAGTTGTGATACAATTAGAGAGTTAAAATTATATATTTTCTGGAAGCAGTAAGGACCTTCAACACAGTTACAACTTGATATGACATGCTTCCATATTCCAATGAAAGTGTATAAAGTATCAAGCCAATCGCAAATTTGCAAATGTTCAATTAAAATCTGTTTATTTGAAAAGAATATTAGACTATATACTATATAATGCTGGTATTATTACTTTCAACATTTTTTGGCACCTACTGCCATTGAAAAGCATATTTGTTAATTCTAATAAAGATGGAGCTCTGAGTGACACTTCAAGTTGCATCACAAACACAAAAACTGGAGAGAAAAACAAAAGATATTAGAAAAAACATACTGTGCATATGAACATAACATTCACATATATATTATTATTTTTTTTTTTTAACATTCACATATATAGTGGGTGGATCTCAATTTAACAGCATTTATCAGAAGGGTTGAGTACTGTTCTAGAAACACCTTTCCTTCTGTTACAACAGGATCCTGAAACTGCTTCAATATCACAGCACTTAATTCAGTTTCCACAGATCAAAAATGGAAGTAAAACACGTTTCTCCTGCCTGGGCCCCATTTCACAAAGCTTGTAAGATCTCGTGATGATCTCGTAACGTTCCTCGTGGCATTAATACCTCCTACACTGTAACACTGACTTACGATAGTCGTAGCGCTAAGAGAGCTACGTGAAACGGGGTCCTGGTTACTATACAAGGGGCGATACGGGTATATCACCATATGTACCATATATACCATATGTACAACAAGCAAATGAATCATTATTGTCACATGATTAACAGGGATTATAGCATTCTGAGGGTTAAACAAATAATTTGAAAACATGATTTTTTATTCAGGGCCAAGAGTAAATATTTATACCTATTTGAGGTCAAGCATCTGAGGCATAATTCTTTCATTTACTTTGGAGATGAGCTTGGATTTTCAGGCAAAAATTAATTTGTTCAGGAAATACAAGGGGGAAAAATACTGTTCAATGAATATTTCGAACCAACAACAGTCTATTGCATAAGCCAATCTTATCGGTACTTCAGTGATATTATACCAGCCTTTAAAGCCCAGAGTCTGAACCAGACAATGCAGTGATTGATACAGGGAACAGTTCTACTGGGACATAATAACACAAGTCACTTAACTCCCTACCATCCATCCAGTGTAGGCCTATTGGGCCACTTCATACAACCAACATTGGTGTCTGGGCGCTTGTCCTCACCTGGAATCCCCACAGGAGTACATTGTATACCACAATTGTTTAAATTTAACAAAAATAACAAATGTATTCCAAGCTATACAAAATTCTGATTTAGGACAAAACGGAAGAACTTTTCAGTGAACCCATCTCTGAAAGTTTCCATGAATACACTCAGTTACTGATAATGTACACACACAGCCATCGTCTGGATGTCAGTATAAACGGCAGCATGCTCTACCACAACAAATCATTCACATTCCAGTAGGGTAGTTAACTCAATGATATATAGGCTTAAAAATGATGATTATAATAGTCTTAATATTGATGATATACTCCAAAACAGAGAGCGAGTTGAGTTAAACACTTCTCAATACATTACTACAGTCGCAGAACAGCAAATTGCAGACAATGATTAATCTCATTCATATATAGTCTCTAAAGGGATGACAAATGCAGAAACTGGTGAGTGAGTGAGTGAGTGAGTTGGGTTCAGTTCTTGATGATATATTATTTCAGTTATAAAACACATATTGCAATAATCATTTCTCTCACTGTCATAGTCTTGAAACTGATAACATGTGGAAACTGGTGAGTGAGTGAGTTGGGTTCAGTTCTTGATGAGATATTATTAGTCATATAACAACATATCGCATTTCTCTCACTGACATAGTCTTGAAACTGATAGCGTGGAAACTGGTGAGTGAGTGAGTGAGTTGGGTTCAGTTCTTGATGAGATATTATTAGTTATATAACAACATATTGCAATAATCATTTCTCTCACTGACATAGTCTTGAAACTGATAACATGTGGAAACTGGTGAGTGAGTGAGTGATTGAGTGAGTGAGTGAGTGAGTGAGTGAGTGAGTTGGGTTCAGTTCTTGAAGACATACTATTACAGTTATAAAACACATATTGCAATACTCATTTCTCTCACTGAAATACAGTCTTGGAACTGATAACATGTGGAAACTTATGAGCTGGGTTAAACACTTCCTGAAATATTATTATATTTTTTATAATTTATTATTTATCATTATATAGCAGCATGTCAAAGTAAGTGTGAGAAAGTGTAGACCTGGTTAGTGAAACTGGCAAGCATACCAATGATTACAATCAGCAAATCTTAGATTCAAACACACAATAAGCAGATACTGGCACACTAAGGGACCTAACTCTATACGGCAAATTGCAAGGCTGTTGACTTATCTATTGCTTTTGAAGACGTTAAGTGTCAAATACAGCTATCTAGTTTAGACTCATCATTTCATGTAGAGTGTATTCAGTAAACTGCATTTTGAAACAAAGGTGTTGAGAGAACTAACTACCTACCTATCATGTGTACAAGTGTTATTTCAGAGTTAAACAGTTGGTTCCAGCACTCAGCAAGCCAAAAGGAGAATATTTTTTTATTCTATCCAACCTTTTTAGCAAATTCTGAGGAAAAATTACACTGATACAAAATATATCAATAAAGTTTTTCTATATTGGTCCTTTGATTGGTCCTATTTTCTGTGCAATGTGTTACTTCACTAAACATCACTAGCATTGGATTTGTACTGATGTAGAACTAGGTTGAAACATGGGCCTCTAGGACAGACCCTACATAGACCCAGATAGATCCTAAACAGACCCAGATAGATCCTAAACAGATCCCATATAGATCCAAGTGTCAAATGAAAATATTAGTGTCTGCATTTTTGAAAATAAACATTTGGTTGTCATAGTAACATGCTGGAATGTATCTAGGATATTGCACTGATCTGATGTACAAACCTAAGCTCGTAAGCAAAATCAGAATACACAAAACATCACCGATTGCATACAAATCTTGCCATATGCTAACGTGAAAATAACTAAGTCAATCAGAATACACTGACTGAAAGGATATAAGATATTTTACACATTCATTAAATGTACCTTCTCTACAACTAATAACCTCTGACAAGCTAGGACAGGAACATAACACCCATTTCCTCTACTGACTGAAATTTTCTTCTTTCCAAACACCTGGGTGTAGATTCACCATTTGAAATCTTATACAGATACTGTTTTAATTATTTTATGCAGCATTTTAATTTCTTAACAAAGCACACCTGCGAATTTTCACTTCTGTTTGCTAGCTCATGATTACAGCATTGTGCTGAGGATAATTAACAATATGTTGCCATTCCTGACTGACTAGAAGCATTTGCAGACTATGATTCTGAACCAGTTCTCAATGCTTTAACTTTGCTACAAATGGAACTGAATAAAACTGACAGAAAATGGAAACATAACAAACAGGTTGAAGCAAATAAAGCACGACCTGCTTTAACTACCAGTCAATCAGAGGGATTGTTGCACCGATAAACCTTACTGAAAGTTTCAGTGAGCTGGGTTTGACGCTGTTTCAACAGTTTTCCAGACATATCACAACTTCTCAGCTGAACGTTGGAGGAAAGTCAACTGATGCAGGTCTCAGTTACTACATGAATATCTACAAATCTAATAACAGAATCTGGGTAAACCAGGTTTGGACCCCACAATCACAGGCTCCTGCTGGCCCAAGGGGTGCAACTCTGTACAACAAATCATGGCACTACATATGATTGGTCCATCCATGGCTCCCCTTCATCTAAGCACATCCACTAGACAATATAATCAGTTTAAAGTCGTCAATGGAAATTACATATTTTTACAGTGTTAGTAGTGGTATTAAGACAATAAACAAATACAAACAAGCTTTTTTAAAATAAGGTTTAAATTCAAGGACAATTTATTCAACACTTTAATTATTTTTTTCTACTAAATCCCTATCAACCATCTTTCATGTTCACATACATTTGTAAAAAATCTGCAAAACAATGAAAATTCATTTAAAACTTAGTATTTTTTAGATATCCATAACATCTTAAACACACTGCAATGCCACAGTTGCTGTAAACACACAGGTCAGTTGCTCTAAGTATAAACTAGAATCATTTTATAGTTAACATGTCAAAATGGAAAGCTCTCTAATTTCTTTAAGTTTTTACTAATGTGAAACAAACTAATTTTCGGCTAAATTTGCATGTAACCATGGTAACAGCATATCAAGGTAAACATTACTACAAGCTGATTCATCTAATACATTCAGTCAGCTGTCTGGTAAACTCTTTCTTAAAGAGCAAATCTGTACTGACAAAAGCAAATATAAATGAATGATATGATTGCATATTTGTTAATAACAGACTGTCGTTTCAAGTTGGTCAGCCTGAAAGAGCAGTGTCACAAATTCACTTATAGTTGCTGAACGTCACTGAAAGTTGCTGAAAGTCACCAAAAATTGCTGAAAAAGTCAACATTTAAGTAGCCATTGATCCCCAGAGTACACTCGCTACACGGTCCCCCTAATGAAAGTGTGATAACAAATATGTGGTACAAAGAATTATGTATATGTATATTCATAATATAATAGAATATTTATATATTTAGTATAAACACATAAAATCATAATCTACAATAAATTAGAAACATGATATGTACAAACGTCCTATACAAGACTATACAACAAGCACCATTATTGGATAATTAGTACAACATTACCGGGATCATGATCATTTGACCAGGACTACATGAAATTATCCAGATCAATTCACAAAGCAAATTGTGAAAGAAATATGTGCAACTATTCAAGAATTTGATGCACAATTAAGTTACACTTCATTGTTTAAGCAAGCAATAGTACGAGAGTGAACATGTTTTTTTTCCGCCACTTTTAGCAATATTGCCCGAGGATGACAAGCTCCTTACGTTGAAACTAATGGAAATCAAACCAGTTTTTAGTGTGAGTATCTAACACTGTACCCACTACCCTACCCAACCAACCTTAACACATGAGTGAATGAGTGAGTGAGTTTAGTTTTACGCTGCTTTCCGCAACATTCCAGCAATATCACGGCAGGGGAAACCAGAAATGGGCTCCACACATTGTACCCACCTTAACACATGAGGGACAAAGGTTGGCATTGGTTACAACTTTTCGTAACTGGTGACGAAGATAGACTGAGTGTTAAGGCTTGGTGTTGGGACTGGGTTTGTGACGTGATGACTCCACAGCATTGCTGCAGCCTGTCAGTCACCGATTCCTCAATTATTCAAAAGCTGCTGCGATACACCTGGAACATTGCTGTGGTATACAACAGCAAGCAAACATCGCTGTTGCTGTGATATGGTCAAACTACTGACATGAAACCAGTTGCTACCATATGTGTACACACAACCTTGCACTCACGGCCAGTGTTATCTACCCCGGGCGGTGGGGTAGCCTAACGGTTAAAGCCTCAGCTTGTCATGCTGAAGACCCAGGTTTGATTCTAAACATGGGTACAATGTGTGAAGCCCATTTCTGGTGTCCCACACCATGATATAGCAGGAATATTGCTAAACGCGGCGTAAAACCAAACTCAGTCAATCGGTGAGTCAATAATAACACCGAACCTGTGGTACTTTCTTCACACACGTCATCCAAACATAGAAGGAAAATAGAAAACTGGATGTCTTAAATAAAATTCATGAGAATAAACTGAACTATTTTTACATGTAATCACCAACATTTATCACATCTTTTCAACACTACTGAGAGATATACAGTGTATTCAAAATTACATTTGAAAGTAAATTCTTCAAATAATATTAACAAGAATAATCTAACATATAACTCTTAACCAGAATAGGTAATCATTTCTCATCACACACATTGCCAGTATAGAATGATTTACAAGCATAACAACAGCACTGGTAACCTTGGTAACAAAGCATAACAACAGCACTGGTAACCATGGTAACATGTATAAATGTGAAAGACTTTTCTGTACAATGTAAATAGTAAATAACAACAATCACTGATTTGTTTTCATTAGTCTGTTCTGGATGTTGTGGCGACAAAATATTTCATCACATTTCATATGAAAATGCTTTGAGAATTCACAGAATTCACACTAAATCCAGAACATTTTACAAAGCAATGACAGAAATCAACAACAACAGAGACTGATATGTTCTCACTTATGTCTGATGATAGAATAGTTTTAAATGGAAATTCATTACACATATTTGACGCGATTGTTCAGTTTACAATGTCAGCACATCAGCAAATTTTCAAAAATAATGTTTATCTGCTATCCGTGATCCATTCAATGTGCCATTTCATGACAATGGAACAAGTAGAGCTATAACTTGTAAATCCATAACAACAGACTTGCATCCTCGGATGTCCTCTGTTTGGTCTTTTTGTTCCAGTCGACGTATCCATCCCCGCCTGCCACAACGATCACAGCATTGCATGGACTCTTCCTCATTGTCGCCGTCCTGTGTGTCTGGGCAGATCCCCCACGATGCAGTGTCCCGTGCCGACTGCGCACAGACCTACTCGTTGCTCTCAGCCTCACCCCAGACCCCCATTTAACAGTCTGACCATCCTTCCGTGCTGACAAAGCATTTTCTGGTGATCCTAAGTCACTAGGAAGCTCTTCAAACGAGGAGGTCGCATCTTGGAAACTATCATCCTCACTCTCTTTATCAATGTCATCGTCAGTCTCCATCAAATTCTCGTACAACATGCGGACCTCATCTTCTTCTTCCTCCGCTAACTCAGAGTCAGAACTTTCAAAGTTTCGTTTTGCAATCTTGTTTGCGAGTTCACTCCTGAATGAGAGTGTTTTTGATTTCAGTCTTGGTTTCTCCCTCTTGAAACTTTCACTGTCTTTATCACTTTTCCTCCGCTTAGCACTCTGAGCTGTCTTGGCACTCTTTGACTGATCAGTAGTACTAGATGAATCCACTTCAGCGATTGGTTGAAGGACAGGATTTGATTCTGTGTCGGTCTGACCAACTACTGTGTTATTTCCACCAGTCACTGAGAGCTCATCAATTTCTGCCTGCCAAGCCTCAGTATGGGACTTTCCATCAGGGGACATAACTCCATCTATTCCACTGTCACTAACAGGGGAGGTAATCTCTTCACTTTTGTTTTTATTCAAGGTTAACTTATCATTGAGACTGGGGCGCTTTGGCCGAAGTGATGACCACAAGGAGCTGCTACGGTTCAGTTCAGCGACACTGCTAGAGTAGTAAATTGGAATCAGAAACTTGACTGGTCCCCGATGAGAATGGTGTGATATTTTGGGCCGCCCACTGGCCAGTGGGACACCATCCTTCAAGCGAGGTAGAGGTAGGGTGAGAACAAAGCCGTGATTGGTCCCAATCCAAAGCAGTCCCTTGCTGGCTGACAAACTGGTGATGAAACAGCTGCTGTATCCGTCCGGCTGGTCGTCAGTCATCACCTTGCTCTTCCTCTCTGGAGAAACAAACACACGTTATAGTAGCGGGGAGCAACAGGTTGATACCAGCAGCTGAACACAGCGTCTCGGGTAAGGATGTAGATGATGGATAGAGGAGTAGATGTATGGATAGATGGTAGATTAGATGGAAGGATGGTAGATTAGATGGAAGGATGGTAGATTAGATGGATAGACTGACTGACTGAGTTTGGTTTTACATCGCTTTTAGCAATATTCCAGCAACATCACGGCGGGGGACACCAGAAATGGGCTTCACACATTGTACCCATGTGGGGATTCGAACCCGGGTCTTCGGCGTGACGAGCCAACGCTTTAACCATTAGGCTACCCCAACGCCCCAAGATGGATAGATGGTAGATTAGATGGACAGATTGTAGAATAGATGGACAGATGGTAGAATAGATGGATGGATGGATAGATGGCAGATTAGATGGAAGGATGGTAGTATAGATGGATGGATAGATGGTAGATTAGATGGAAGGATGATAGAATAGATGGATGGATAGATGGTAGATCAGATGGAAGGATGGTAGATTAGATGGATGGATGGTAGATTAGATGGAAGGATTGGTAGAAATAGATGGATAGATTGTAGAATCAGATGGATGGATGGTAGATCAGATGGAAATGGATGGTAGAATTAGATGGAAGGATGGTAGATTTGATGGATGGATGGTAGATAGATGGATGGATAGATGGATAGAGTGGATGGAATAGATGGTAGATTAGATGGAAGGATTGTAGAATGATGGATGGAGGATAAATGGTAGATTAGATGGAAGGATGGTAGAATAGATGGAAGGATGGTAGATTAGATGGAAGGATGGTAGAATAGATGGATAGATCAGATGGAATAGATGGATAGATGGTAGATTAGATGGAAGGATGGTAGAATAGATGGTAGATTAGATGGAAGGATGGTAGAATCAAATGGAAGGATGGTAGATGGACAGAATCAGATGGAAGGACAGAATCAGGATGGACAGAATCAGACGGAATGGATCAGGAGATGAGACAGGATCAGATGGAATGGAATGTAGAATCAGATCAGACAGAGATCAGATGGATGGATGGACGATAGATGGAATGACAGAGCAGATATGGACAGATGGTAGATGGAGGATGAGATGGATAGATGGAATGATAGATCAGAATCAGACGGACAGAGGATCGACGATCAGATTGATGGAATGAGAGTAGATGGACGGATGGACAGACAGACGGATGGATCAGATGGACAGAGTAGGAGAATCAGATGGATAGGATCATGACAGTTGATAGATGGACAGACAGGATGGTGAGGAATGACAGAATCAGATGGACGGATGAATCAGATGGACAAACTGAATGGATGGACAGAGCAGACGGACGGACAAACGGACACAGAGTAGAGTAGAAAGGACAGATAGTGAGCAGGATCAGATGGATGGAGAGATATGGACACACAGAGGATGTACAAGGTGGAGTAAGAATACGAGAACAGACAACGCAGATGGAGGGACGGACCAGACCATAGGAAGGATAGACCAGCAGGAGCAGGATGGACAAATGGACAGGTGAGTAGACAGTGAGTAGGAATGGATGGATGGTGGAGGAATAGATGGATGGTGAGTAGATGGACACAGAGTACAGAGTGGGTAAACAGGACCCAGGAACACACTAATGGACCAACAATCCCAGTGGAAGAGACCGACCCAGGAACTGAAGGACATGGCCAACTGAAGCCATGGAACTGGACCATCCCTGATCCCCACGACAAGACAAGCACACATTGCCGAAGACCCACCCGGATCTTCAATGGTAGAGTAGAGAGAAGATGATGGTAGAATAGGATGGATGGATGGTAGAGTAAATTAATAGATTTGGTAGAGAGGATGATCGATGGTAGAGTAGGGAAGATGATGGTGGAATAGGATGGATTGATGGTAGAGTAGATGGATGGATGGTAGAGCACATCATGGATGGCAGAGAGATGATGGATGGTAGAGTGGATGATGGTAGAGTAGATGCATGTGGTAGAGCAGAATAGATGGATGGTAAAGTAAACAAATGAATGGTGGAATGTTAGAATAAATGGATGATGAGTAGATAATGGTAGTAGAGGAAATCGAATGGATGGTGGAGAGAATAGAATGGTAGAGCACATGATGGATGGGAGAGTAAATGGATGGTTGATAGAATAGGATGAATGGTAGAGAATCATCGATGTAGAGCAGAATAGATGATGGTAAATAGATGGATGGATGATAGAGCAGATGGATGTATGGTAGTATAGGATGGGTGGTAGAATGGATTAGAGCAGATAAGAGTAGATGATGGATGGTAAAAGTAAAATGAATGGATGGTACAGTAGAATAGATGGATGGTAGAGTACATGATGTATGGTAGAGCATGTCATGGATGGATGGATGGATGGTAGAGTATTTGATAAAACTCCGATGGTAGAAGCTGATGGAGGTATGACCTATGTGGCAGGAGTATTGTGATTAGAGCATATAAAGACTTCCAGGAAACAGATGACTACACTACCTTCCAGAAGTTCTGCTGACAGCAGACGCTTATGTTGATCTCCTGAAGGTTCCCCTTCCAAGGTTTAAATTGTGGTACAGGACGTGAATTTGGCCGGAGTCCTTGAACGACACCCCAGATCCCCACACCAGAAGTAGTAAACTCCATGGATGCAATCCAAGGTTATCAGGACTCAATGGACAGATCATGTTGTCTGCAGACAAATAGTTACAGTGATTAGGTCATGTATACTTACTGACATATGTAACTCGTGTAGGATCATCACTTTCCGGGAGGAGGTGCAGCTCCAGTCAGACATACCAGCACATTGAATCTCAGAGTGGCCCATGTGACCCTTCTTGAACTGACATCGCCAGTAACATATAGGTAATATATGCTGCTATGGGACAAATCTAGGCATTCTTTACAACATGCCCCTCGTCTTCCGCTGACAAACTGAGGTATTCTTTGACAAAGCAAACACCGGGACGCTTGCAGAACAATCTTTATGCCACGTCGAACATTATTCCCAACAAAATCCACAGTTATCATCCACATCCTAAGTCAATGGAGACACGATGGCACACCACTGACCAGCTCTACACAATCACACTGTGGTAAATAACTGATTGACATACTGAACTCTTGACATTGACACTATGCTTGACTATTAACAGGTTCCTCCAATGAAAAAGCACATATCCACCACATCAGATAACACTATTTCATGTGATATTACTCACAAAGCAGACTGTATTCAAGCTGCCTCACTAGTAAGTCCAACGACTTCCTGAAGGAAGTGGTTTAACAATCACTCATTGCAGGACTGGTATAAAACTGCAATATATTCCAACCATGTTTAACAATCACTGCTATCGAATGGTACAAACTGCAATAGTATTGCAACAATGTTTTAACAATTAAAATACTTTGACCTAATCTGTATGTAACAACTTGCAGTATTGCTACAGTGTTCTAACAATCAATATTGCTAATAAACTGCTGTAGTATTGCTAGTGTTCTAACAATCAATATTGGTAATAAACTGCTGTAGTATTTACTACAGTTCTAACAATCAATATTGCTAATAAACTGCTGTAGTATTGATAAAATTAGTACAACATTACGGGATCATGATCATTTGACCAGGGACTACATGAAATTATTATCGGAGATCAATTCACAAAGCAAATTGTGAAAGAAATATGTGCAAACTATTCAAGAATTAAATGCACAATTAAGTTACACTTCATTGTTTAAGCAAGCAATAGTCACGACAGTGAACATGTTTTTTTTCCGCCACTTTTAGCCATATTGCCCGAGGATGACAAGCTCCTTACGTTGAAACTAATGGAAATCAAACCAGTTTTTAGTTGTGAGTATCTAACACTGTAACCACTACCCTACCCAACCAACCTTAACACATGAGTGAATGAGTGAGTGAGTTTAGTTTCGTAGCTGCTTTCATAACATTCCAGCAATATCATGGCGGACGGAAATGGGATACACACATTGTACCCACCCGCTTAACACATGAGGGACAAAGATTGGCGTGGTTACAACTTTTAAAATGAACTGGTGGCGAAGATAGACTGAGAGTGTTAAGGCTTGGTGTTGGGACTGGGTTTGTGGCGTGATGACTCCACAGCATTGCTGCTGGCCTGTCAGTCACTGACTCCTCAATTATTCAAAAAGCTGCTGCGATTACACCTGGAATATTGCTGTGGTATACAACAGCAAAGCAAACATCGCTGTTGCTGTGATATGGCCAGACTACTGACATGAAACCTGTTGCTACCATATGTGTACACACAACCTTGCACTCGGCCAGTGTTATCTACCCAGGCGGTGGGGTAGCCCTAACGGTTAAAGCCCTCAGCTTGTCATGCTGAAGACCCAGGTTTGATTCTAAACATGGGTACAATGTGTGAAAGCCCATTTCTGGTGTCCCCCCATGATATAGCAGGAATATTGCTAAGCGAGCATAAAACCAGAACTCAGTCAATCGGTGAGTCAATAATAACACGAACCTGTGGTACTTTCTTCACACACGTCATCCAAACATAGAAGGAAAATAGAAACTGGATGTCTTAAATAAAATTCATGAGAATAAACTGAACTATTTTTACATGTAATCACCAACATTTTATCACATCTTTCAACACTACTGAGAGATATACAGTGTATTCAAAATTACATTTGAAAGTAAATTCTTCAAATAATATTAACAAGAATAATCTAACATATAACTCTTAACCAGTAATAGGTAATCCTTTCTCCATTACACACATTGCCAGTATAGAATGATTTACAAGCATAACAGCAGCACTGGTAACCTTGGCAACAAAGCATAACAACAGCACTGGTAACCATGGTAACATGTATAAATGTGAAAGACTTTTCTGTACAATGTAAATAGTAAATAACAACAATCACTGATTTGTTTTCATTAGTCTGTTCTGGATGTTGTTCTGCGACAAAATATTTCATCACATTTCATATAGAAAAACGCTTTGAGAATTCACACTAAATTCATAACATTTTACATAGCAATGACAGAAATCAACAACAACAGAGACTGATATGTTCTCACTTATGTCTGATGATAGAATAGTTTTAAATGGAAATTCATTACACATATTTATTTGACGCGATTGTTCAGTTTACAATGTCAGCACATCAGCAAATTTTCAAAAATAATGTTTATCTGCTATCCGTAGTCCATTCAATGTGCCATTTCATGACAATGGAACAAGTAGAGCTATAACTTGTAAATCCATAACAACAGACTTGCATCCTCGGATGTCCTCTGTTTGGTCTTTTTGTTCCAGTCGACGTATCCATCCCCGCCTGCCACAACGATCACAGCATTGCATGGACTCTTCCTCATTGTCGCCGTCCTGTGTGTCTGGGCAGATCCCCCACGATGCAGTGTCCCTGCCGACTGCGCACAGACCTACTCGTTGCTCTCAGCCTCACCCCAGACCCCCATTTAACAGTCTGACCATCCTTCCGTGCTGACAAAGCATTTTCTGGTGATCCTAAGTCACTAGGAAGCTCTTCAAACGAGGAGATCGCATCTTGGAAACTATCATCCTCACTCTCTTTATCAATGTCATCGTCAGTCTCCATCAAATTCTCGTACAACATGCGGACCTCATCTTCTTCTTCGTCCGCTAACTCAGAGTCAGAACTTTCAAAGTTTCGTTTTGCAATCTTGTTTGCGAGTTCACTCCTGAATGAGAGTGTTTTTGATTTCAGTCTTGGTTTCTCCCTCTTGAAACTTTCACTGTCTTTATCACTTTTCCTCCGCTTAGCACTCTGAGCTGTCTTGGCACTCTTTGACTGATCAGTAGTACTAGATGAATCCACTTCAGCGATTGGTTGAAGGACAGGATTTGATTCTGTGTCGGTCTGACCAACTACTGTGTTATTTCCACCAGTCACTGAGAGCTCATCAATTTCTGCCTGCCAAGCCTCAGTATGGGACTTTCCATCAGGGGACATAACTCCATCTATTCCACTGTCACTAACAGGGGAGGTAATCTCTTCACTTTTGTTTTTATTCAAGGTTAACTTATCATTGAGACTGGGGCGCTTTGGCCGAAGTGATGACCACAAGGAGCTGCTACGGTTCAGTTCAGCGACACTGCTAGAGTAGTAAATTGGAATCAGAAACTTGACTGGTCCCCGATGAGAATGGTGTGATATTTTGGGCCGCCCACTGGCCAGTGGGACACCATCCTTCAAGCGAGGTAGAGGTAGGGTGAGAACAAAGCCGTGATTGGTCCCAATCCAAAGCAGTCCCTTGCTGGCTGACAAACTGGTGATGACACAGCTGCTGTATCCGTCCGGCTGGTCGTCAGTCATCACCTTGCTCTTCCTCTCTGGAGAAACAAACACACGTTATAGTAGCCGGGAGCAACAGGTTGATACCAGCAGCTGAACACAGCGTCTGGGGTAAGGATGTAGATGATGGATAGAGGAGTAGATGGATAGATGGTAGATTAGATGGAAGGATGGTAGATTAGATGGAAGGATGGTACATTAGATGGAAGGATGGTAGATTAGATGGATAGACTGGACTGACTGAGTTTGGTTTTAAGTCACTTTTAGCAATATTCCAGCAACATCACGGCGGGGGACACCAGAAATGGGCTTCACACATTGTACCCATGTGGGGATTCGAACCCGGGTCTTCGGCGTGACGAGCCAGCAGCTTTAACCATTAGGCTACCCCACCGCCCCAAGATGGATAGATTAGATGGATAGATTGTAGAATAGATGGATAGAGTGGTAGAATAGATGGATGGATGGATAGATGGCAGATTAGATGGAAGGATGGTAGTATAGATGGATGGATAGATGGTAGATTAGATGGAAGGATGGTAGAATAGATGGATGGATAGATGGTAGATTAGATGGAAGGATGGTAGATTAGATGGAAGGATGGTAGATTAGATGGAAGGATGGTAAAATAGATGGATAGATTGTAGAATAGATGGATGGATGGTAGATTAGATGGAAGGATGGTAGATTAGATGGAAGGATGGTAGATTAGATGGATAGATTGTAGAATAGATGGATAGATTATAAAATAGATGGATGGATGGATAGATGGTAGATTAGATGGAAAGATGGTAGAATAGATGGATGGATGGATAAATGGTAGATTAGATGGAAGGATGGTAGATTAGATGGAAGGATGGTAGAATAGATGGAAGGATGGTAGAATAGATGGATAGATGGTAGAATAGATGGATAGATGGTAGATTAGATGGAAGGATGGTAGAATAGATGGTAGATTAGATGGGAGGATGGTAGAATAGATGGAAGGATGGTAGAATAGATGGAAGGATGGTAGAATAGATGGAAGGATGGTAGAATAGATAATAGATTAGATTGAAGGATGGTAGATTAGATGGAAGGATGGTAGAATAGATGGATAGATGGTAGAATAGATGGAAGGATGGTAGAATAGATGGAAGGATGGTAGAATAGATGGAAGGATGGTAGAATAGATGGATAGATGGTAGATTAGATGAAAGGATGGTATATTAGATGGAAGGATGGTAGATTAGATGGATGGATGGATGGATGATAGAGTAAATGGAAGGACAGATGGTAGAGTAGATGATGGATGGTAGTGTAGATGGAGGGATAGATGGTAGATTCGATGGAAGGATAGATTGTAGAATAGATGGATAGATGGTAGGATTAGATGGAAGGGATGAGTAGAATAGATGGATGGATGGATGGTAGAGTAGTAAATGGAAGGACAGATAGTAGAGTAGAATGATGGATGGTGGAGTAGATGGAAGGATAGATGGTAAGAGTAGAAAAAAGATGGATATGGTAGAGTAGATGGATGTAAGAGTAGATGGAGGGATAGATGGTAGAGTAGAATACATGGATGGTAGAGTAGATGGATAAATGGATGGTAGAGTAGATGAATGTAGAGTAGATGGAGGGATAGATGGTAGAGTAAGAATAGATTATGGTAGCAGAGTACATGGGGGATAGATGGTGAAGTAGAATACATGGATGGTAGAGTAGATGGATAAATGGATGGTAGAGTAGATGGAAGGATAGATGTTAGAGTAGATGGATGATGGATGGTAGAGTAGATGGAAGGATAGGATGGGTTGAGTAGATGGATAAATGGATGGTAGAGTAGATGGAAGGATAGATGTTAGAGTAGATGGATAAATGGATGGTAGAGTAGATGGAAGTATAGTAGAAGTAGAATACATGGATGGATGGTGGAGTAGAATAGATGGATGGTAGAGTAGATGATCAATGGTAGAGCAGAGTGAGTGGTGAGTTTAGTTTTCACGCTGCACTCAGCAATATTCCAGCTATATGGCGTCTGTAAATAATCGAGTCTGGACCAGACAATCCAGTGATCAACAGCATGAGCATCGATCTCGCTGGAGAGAACGATGACATGTGTCCAACCAAGTCATGAAACTGACCAACCCGATCCGTTAGTAAGCCTCCAGACAAGAGACCCTTTTATAGCAAGCACATGGAAGTTGCTGAAGACCTATTCTACCCCGGATCTTCACGGTCTGGTAGAGTAGAGAAGATGATGGTAGAATAGATGGATGGATGGTAGAGTAAATTAATAGATGGTAGAGTAGGATGATCGATGGTAGAGTAGGAAGATGATGGTAGAATAGATGGATTGATGGTGAGATAGATGGATGGATGGTAGAGATTACAATAGATGGATGGTAGAGTAGATGATGGATGGTAGAGTGGATGGATGGTAGAGTAGATGCATGGATGGTAGAGTAGAATAGATGGATGGTAGAATAGAATAGATGGGTGGTAAAGTAGAATAAATGGATGGTAGAGTAGATGATGGATAGTAGAGTAAATGAATGGATGGTAGAGTAGAATAGATGGATGGTAGAGTCAAGATGGATGGTAGAGTAAATGGATGGTTGATAGAATAGATGATGGATGGTAGAGTAAATCATTGATGGTAGAGTAGAATAGATGAAGGTAGAATAGATGGATGGATGATAGAGTAGATGGATGTATGGTAGAGTAGATGGGTGGTAGAATGGATTAGAGTAGATTAGAGTAGATGATGGATGGTAGAGTAAATGAATGGATGGTAGAGTAGAATAGATGTATGGTAGAGTACGTGATGTATGGTAGAGTATGTCATGGATGGATGGATGGATGGTAGAGTATTTGATAAAATGGATGGTAGAAGCTGATGGAAGTACGACCTATGTGGCAGGAGTATTGTGATTAGGCATATAAAGACTTCCAGGAAACAGATGACTACACTACCTTCCAGAAGTCTGCTGACAGCAGACGCTATGTTGATCTCCTGAAGGTTCTCTAAGGTTTCGGTGTGGTACAGACGTAGTTTGGCGGAGTCCTTGAACGACACCCAGATCCCCACACCAGAAGTAGTAAACTCATGGATGACCAGGTTATCAGATTCAATGGACAGATCATGTGTTGTCTGCAGACAAATAGTTACAGTGATTAGGTCATGTATACTTACTGACATATGTAACTCGGTGTAGGATCACTCGGGAGGAGGTGTGCAGCTCCAGTCAGACATACCAGCATTGAATCTCAGAGTGGCCATGTGACCCTTGAACTGACACGTCAGTAACATATAGGTAATATATAATGCTATGGGACAAATCTAGGCATTCCTTACAACATGCCCGGGTCTTCCGCTGACAAACTCAGGTATTCTATGACACAAGCAGACACTCCGACGCTGAACAATCTTTATGCCATGTTGAACATTCCAACAAAATCCACAGTTATCATCCACATCCTAAGTCACGGAGACACGATGACACACCACTGACCAGCTCACACAATCACACTGCACATATCCACATCAGTTAACACTATTTGATATTAACAGGTTCCTCCAATGAGACATATCCACATCAGTTAACACTATTTGATGTGAGACACCAACAAATCTGACTGTATTCAAGCTGCCTCACTCGTAAGTCCAACGACTTCCTGAAGGAAGTGGTTTAACAATCACTATTGCAGGACTGGTATAAAACTGCAATATATTCCAACCATGTTTTAACAATCACTGCTTTCGGAATGGTACAAACTGCAATAGTATTGCAACAATGTTTTAACAATTAAAATACTTTGACCTAATCTGTATTACAACTTGCAGTATTGCTACAGTGTTCTAACAATCAATATTGCTAATAAACTGCTGTAGTATTGCTAGTGTTCTAACAATCAATATTGGTAATAAACTGCAGTAGTAATGCTACAGTGTTCTAACAACTAATATTGCAGTAGTATTGCTAATAAACTGCTGTAGTATTGCTACAGTGTTCTAACAATCAATATTGCTAATAAACTGCTGTAGTATTGCTACAGTGTTCTAACAATCAATATTGCTAATAAACTGCAGTAGTATTGCTACAGTGTTCTAACAATCAATATTGCTAATAAACTGCTGTAGTATTGCTACAGTGTTCTAACAATCAATATTGCTAATAAACTGCAGTAGTATTGCTACAGTGTTCTAACAATCAATATTGCTAATAAACTGCAGTAGTATTGCAAAACAATGCTGCGGTAGTATTGCTACAGTGTTCTAACAATCAATATTGCTAATAAACTGCTGTAGTATTGCTACAGTGTTCTAACAATCAATATTGCTAATAAACTGCTGTAGTATTGCTACAGTGTTCTAACAATCAATATTGCTAATAAACTGCTGTAGTATTGCTAGTGTTCTAACAATCAATATTGCTAATAAACTGCTGTAGTATTGCTACAGTGTTCTAACAATCAATATTGCTAATAAACTGCTGTAGTATTGCTAGTGTTCTAACAATCAATATTGCTAATAAACTGCAGTAGTATTGCAACAGTGTTTTAATATCACTGAATATTTACAACAGCATTAATCAGTCCTTCAGTCAGCCCCGTACACAACTCCCACCATAAATGTAAACTTACCTTTTCTTTCAAACTGTCAATTTCCAGGACAAGAATCTTGGTCGTCAAGGCAACCCAGAGGTCGTCATCAATTACCTTCATGCAGGATATGATGGTGTTTGAGAGATTTAAGGAGTGAGGAGAATTTACATTCCATGCGCCATCTGAAACAGAGTGAGTGAGTGAGTTTTTAACACAGCCTTTAGCTTTACTGCAGCAGGTCATTGAATTCAAACCCTAGTCTTTGGCCTAACAAGTCCGTACTGTACCTGCTGTGCTAACCTACTTGTATCAACAAATCATAATTTTTACTCACTCATGCACTTCAACAAGTAAAATATTCACTGATGGTGGCTGGTCATCCAAAGAGGGACTTGAAAGACCCTTTAGCAGTCATCTGGCTGCAGTTCGCTGGGCAGAGTATCCTACCTTAGCATTTCCAGGATCTGCTTATAACAGATATGAATCTCATAACTGCCCTTGTAATGATCCTTGGTGTTCAAGCACCACACTTGTGGGCTCCACAACGTTGCTACACATGTACATGGATTTGAACTTTGCTCCAACAACAACCCTCAGTGACATAAACTCACTCACTCCATCAAGATCTGTGAGCACTTTTCAGGATACAAAATAGTTTATAGAACATGTATTACCTGTAATTCAAACAATGTTGTGTGTTAAGGAAATATGACCAAAAGAATACCTCATGGTTATTCGACAGATTCCATGGAGGAAGGACCTCTCTTGCCGACATTCTTTGTGTAGATTACATCAGTAAAATCATGGTCAAGTTCGAAGAAAACAAGAGACAACTGGAACCCTGTACCTGAAGATTGCTAACAAGCCTTATGATACAGATGAATACACTAAACTTGTAATAACAATGGCTGCCGTCTGTATGATCGTCCTGTGAAACAAGACATTACCGTTATCCCTGGAGAAAACAGCCAAGGATCCATTGACCAGTCCACAGAAGAGTCGCTCATCCACGTACTTCATGGACAGCGGTGCAGCTGGCAGAGTGAACTTCACCACTGCTTCACGTCGCATCCCATCAGAACTCGTCAGTGGGAAGATGAGGATCCTGGGAAAAGAATCCTCAAGTTTACATCTCAAACATAGATCAAAATCTGTTATGTCAAATATCACACTTAGATTTATTCAAATACAAAACAGTCTGAAGTGTGGACAGAGTGCATTAACTTACTGACATCCGAACATGTGCTTTAGAGCTACCCTGAATGCTGATTGGTCAGTTGAGTGAGTGAGTATTGATATACACTGCTTTTCGATATGACGGAGGGGATACCATAAATGGGCTTCTCAAATTGGACCTACGTGGTGAATCAAACCCGTGTCTTCAGAGTGACAGATGAACACTTTAACCCCACTGACCCACATCAGTTGAAGTGTCATGATACCACAATGCTTCACTCTTGAAGACAATATCATGACATCATCAATTCTTTATAACATCACATAATTATAGCCTTATACTTGTTTCTATTTGTTTACAATACTGACTGAATGTCAATGGTATGCATACAACTTTCTGAGGATGTGATGTCTGTCAGTACCCGTATTTCTGTTCTGACCTCCAAGTGCATTTTCAAGACAGCTGTGTTTCACCACTCAAATGTTTGCTACAGTGACTTTATCCACAACATTGTACATGTTGATTGGTCTTTGTCACAGTTCATCTATCTGTTTGTTCATTTTTACTTGCATCAATAATATCACCCTTTCAGAACTTTACTCTTGATGCTTAACTTCTTTGAAGAGTATATATGCTCTGAATTCATAACGAGAAGTATTTTCCTACTCATTGTCAATAGTTCCAAGCCAGACACAATCCTCTGCGAATGCATATTCCTTCACTTCTCTAGCATATCCCGGAACATGCTCTGTACATGTGACCTCAACGTCTGCTGCCTTAAAGCTCTCGATGAGGCTTGGTTTGGAGTTGTGTATGGAGATGATGGAGACCTGCCCCCTGGTGGGAGTGGTGGTAACTACCCACAGGTGTTGGGTGCTGATCCGGGTGCCGGAGCTCGATGTCATGAACACTGGGATGGCGCACATCATCTGCAACAGCAACACCACTGAATATATCCCTGACAAACCAGTGACTTACCAGAATTCAATAATACTTCTGGACAACAATGTTAATGCTGATCTGATGCTTGTCACAACATACATGCTTCTCAACACCTGCTTGTATTCACTTTTAGGGGCGGTGGGGTAGTCTAGTGTTTAAAGCGTTGGCTCGTCATCATGAGACCCGGTTCAATCCCCAGATGGGTACAATGTGAAGTCCCCCCGCGATATTGCTGGAATATTGCTAAAAGCCCTGAAACCAAACTCAGTCAGTCAGTCAGTTTCACTTTTAAAGGTGTAAGAATCCACATCAAAATGTCACCCTATACAACATACTGGAAGTTGTATGCTTTATTATTAACTCACCAACTTCTAGAATGCCGATCGAACAATAAAAAGAAATCCCCACATGAATCGTAATGATCAATTGACTTTACGCAGGTTTACACCATTATCTGCCCAAACTACAATCTCAACCATTCTTAGTGTGTGGGTGAAAGTTTTTTTGCAGGACAACACTACTTGTACATTTTCAAGTTTATCACTAGTGGGGACACCTGATAGCCAGTTGACGACTTTTCCGATTGAGGAGCCAATGCGTCCTTGTTTTATCGTAAGTTCCAGGGTAGCAAGTACTGTAAACGTACTTATTTTCGTGTGGTGCAATTTTCGCGGAATTGACAGTTTAGACTACATCGCGCGGTCAATTATTTGCGCAATCAGTAATTGCCGGAACTGCCAGCTGTCTCTTTGGCCACTAATAGCAGTGAAAACAAACAGAGTGGCTTAACCTGTCAGGCGCCGTTTATTGCATACTCACAGGAAATCCCTATCAGTGCGATATACTAGTACACAGTAATCCGTTTACTCATGGAAGAGATGAAAAACACATCAGTCTTATGTTCAATTCTGACGATCTGACTAATTAACATCTACTGTATATGAAGCTCTTTGTGATTTCAAACAAGCCGGGCTGTTGTGAATGAGATGATTGAGTGTTAAGTGACTATTCGCGCTTCATGATGTACTGGTAAATAAAATCTTAATGAATAAATAAAATACTGCTGTATTATTTCTTTCCAAGTCGCTTCATGGTAATCTGTTTTGTATCAAACCATCTGTCATGTGACCAATTCCATGGCCACAACAACACATTGCTGTTTTCGCTAAAATTCAGCCGCATGGATTTTGGCTCATTATTTAATTATGTTTTGGAAATCCATTACAGCGACAGTTAAGTATGATTCTTTATGCTACTATCAGTCATTTTAAGATTCCTGTAGATTTCTGTCTTCAAACTTGATGTGTTATGGTAACAACTAGGGCTACAAGATGGCACAGACTGAATGAATGACAGGTTTATTCACGGTGGGAATTTCACTAAAATGTTTTTCTTTAAAAGCTGTAAAACAGAACCTGTGCTACCCTGATAATACGTTTACAGTACCATGTTTCAGCATTGTACAGTATGACGCAATAAGGGGACCTACCAATCTTGAGGCAGACACTCTACCAACGAGATCACAGAGGCATACCCTGATTGTGTGGGGAATACTAGCCACAAGATCACAGAGGCATACCCTGATTGTGTGGGGAATACTAGCCACAAGATCACAGAGGCATACCCTGATTGTGTGGGGGAATACTAGTCCACAAGATCACAGAGGCATACCCTGATTGTGTGGGGAATACTAGCCACAAGATCACAGAGGCATACCCTGATTGTGTGGGGAATACTAGCCACAAGATCACAGAGGCATACCCTGATTGTGTGGGGAATACTAGCCACAAGATCACAGAGGCATACCCTGATTGTGTGGGGAATACTAGCCACAAGATCACAGAGGCATACCCTGATTGTGTGGGGAATTCTAGCCACAAGATCACAGAGGCATACCCTGATTGTGTGGGGAATTCTAGCCACAAGATCACAGAGGCATACCCTGATTGTGTGGGGAATTCTAGCCACAAGATCACAGAGGCATACCCTGATTGTGTGGGGAATACTAGCCACAAGATCACAGAGGCATACCCTGATTGTGTGGGGAATACTAGCCACAAGATCACAGAAGCATACCCTGATTGTGTGGGGAATTCTAGCCACAAGATCACAGAGGCATACCCCTGATTGTGTGGGGAATACTAGCCACAAGATCACAGAGGCATACCCTGATTGTGTGGGGAATACTAGCCACAAGATCACAGAAGCATACCCTGATTGTGTGGGGAATTCTAGCCACAAGATCACAGAAGCATACCCTGATTGTGTGGGGGATTCTAGCCACAAGATCACAGAGGCATACCCTGATTGTGTGGGGAATACTAGCCACAAGATCACAGAGGCATACCCTGATTGTGTGGGGAATACTAGTCCACAAGATCACAGAGGCATACCCTGATTGTGTGGGGAATTCTAGTCACAAGATCACAGAAGCATACCCTGATTGTGTGGGGAATTCTAGTCACAAGATCACAGAAGCATACCCTGATTGTGTGGGGAATTCTAGCCACAAGATCACAGAGGCATACCCTGATTGTGTGGGGAATACTAGCCACAAGATCACAGAGGCATACCCTGATTGTGTGGGGAATTCTAGCCACAAGATCACAGAGGCATACCCTGATTGTGTGGGGAATTCTAGTCACAAGATCACAGAGACCCTGATTGTGTGGGGAATTCTAGCCACAAGATCACAGAAGCATACCCTGTGTGTGGGAATTCTAGCCACAAGATCACAGAGGCATACCCTGATTGTGTGGGGAATTCTAGCCACAAGATCACAGAGGCATACCCTGATTGTGTGGGGAATTCTAGCCACAAGATCACAGAGGCATACCCTGATTGTGTGGGGAATTCTAGTCACAAGATCACAGAGGCATACATTGTGTGGGGAATTCTAGCACAAGATCACAGAGGCATACCCTGATTGTGTGGGGAATTCTAGCCACAAGATCACAGAGGCATACCCTGATTGTGTGGGGAATTCTAGTCACAAGATCACAGAGGCATACCCTGATTGTGTGGGGAATTCTAGTCACAAGATCACAGAGGCATACCCTGATTGTGTGGGGAATTCTAGTCACAAGATCACAGAAGCATACCCCTGATTGTGTGGGGAATTCTAGTCACAAGATCACAGAAGCATACCCTGATTGTGTGGGGAATTCTAGCCACAAGATCACAGAGGCATACCCCTGATTGTGTGGGGAATTCTAGTCACAAGATCACAGAGGCATACCCTGATTGTGTGGGGAATACTAGCCACAAGATCACAGAGGCATACCCTGATTGTGTGGGGAATTCTAGTCACAAGATCACAGAGGCATACCCTGATTGTGTGGGGAATTCTAGCCACAAGATCACAGAGGCATACCCTGATTGTGTGGGGAATTTAGTCACAAGATCACAGAGGCATACCCTGATTGTGTGGGGAATACTAGCCACAAGATCACAGAGGCATACCCTGATTGTGTGGGGAATTCTAGTCACAAGATCACTGGGGAATACTAGTCACGCAAGATCACAGAGCATACCCCTGATTATGTGGGGAATTCTAGCCACAAGATCACAGCGGCACACCCTGATTGTGTGGGGAATTCTAGCCACAAGATCACATTGAAGCATACCCTGATTGTGTGGGGGAATTCTAGTCCACAAGATCACAGAGAGGCATACCCTGATTGTGTGGGAATTCTAGCCACAAGATCACAGAGGCATACCCTGATTGTGTGGGAATACTAGCCACAAGATCACAGAGGCATACCCTGATTGTGTGGGGAATTCTAGTCACAAGATCACAGAGGCATACCCTGATTGTGTGGGGAATTCTAGTCACAAGATCACAGAGGCATACCCTGATTGTGTGGGGAATTCTAGTCACAAGATCACAGAAAGCATACCCTGATTGTGTGGGAATACTAGCCACAAGATCACAGAGGCATACCCTGATTGTGTGGGAATTCTAGTCACAAGATCACAGAGGCATACCCTGATTGTGTGGGGAATACTAGCCACAAGATCACAGAGGCATACCCTGATTATGAGGGGAATACTAGTCACAAGATCACAGAAGCATACCCTGATTGTGTGGGGAATACTAGCCACAAGATCACAGAGGCATACCCTGATTGTGTGGGGAATACTAGTCACAAGATCACAGAGGCATACCCTGATTGTGTGGGGAATACTAGCCACAAGATGACAGAGGCATACCCTGATTATGAGGGGAATACTAGTCACAAGATCACAGAAGCATACCCTGATTGTGTGGGAAATGCCACCATGTGATTGATAGTATGAGGACCAATGAGTGAGTGAGTGAGTGAGTTGAGTTTTACGCCGCACTCAGCAATATTCCAGCTATATGGCGTCGGTCTGTAAATGATCGAGTCTGGACCAGACAATCCAGTGATCAACAGCATGAGCATCGATATGCGCAATGGGGAACCGATGACATGTGTCAAACAAGTCAGCGAGCCTGACCACCGATCCCGTTAATTGAGGACCAATGAACCCGGCCAAACACTGTGTCCAGTATGGCAGCCAGGGAGACGACAAGATTCAGGCAGAGACAGTACAAGACTAACCTTGGTGTAGTGCCGAGGGACGTCTACTGGGAGACACCGCATGAAGAATGCTGGAGGCAGATCCTGGGTGTCCTCGGTGCTCAGGTCCCCCCAGCCCGGGTCGTTATGCTTATCTGCATCATGACAGAGATGAGGACTGAGACATGTGATACGAGATGGAGACACTGACTGAGACGCGTGATACGAGATGGAGACACTGACTGAGACGTGTGATACGAGATGGAGACACTGACTGAGATACGTGAAATCTTTCTGTTGGCAATCTGGCCAACAATTTGATAGACAGTGAATCTATTAGAAAATCCTACCTGTTGCTAGTTTAGCTATCAGGAAGTCCATGCACCACTCATGTTTGATAGACGCAATTGGGGTCTGAAGAACGTACCGCACCTTCTCACTTCTGGAAAATAAATCATTTCAATAATCATCACTTTTGGGGGTGTTATACTACTTTATCATGCATCAATGACCATTGGGGTGTTGTATCACTTCAATATCCATCATATCCAGGGTCGTATACCACTTTACTATTCATCACTTATATAGGTGTTACACCGCTTCACTATTCACCACTTACATAGGTGTTACACTGCTTCACCACTTATATAGGTGTTACACCGCTTCACTATTCACCACTTACATAGGTGTTACACTGCTTAACCACTTATATAGGTGTTACACCGCTTCACTATTCACTTATATAGGTGTTACATATTTCATCACTTATTCACTGATAGGTGTTACACGCTTCACTATTCACTTATATAGGTGTTACAATCGCCACAATTATTCATCGCTTCACTATTCATCACTTATATAGGTGTTACACCGCTTCACTATTCACCACTTATATAGGTGTTACACCGCTTCACTATTCATCACTTATATAGGTGTTACACCGCTTCACTATTCATCACTTATATAGGTGTTACACCGCTTCACTCACTATTCATCACTTATATAGGTGTTACACCGCCCCATGTGTGTCCAGCTTCACTATTCACTTATATAGGTGTTACACCAGCTTCACTATTCACCACTTATATAGGTGTTACACCGCTTCACTATTCATCACTTATATAGGTGTTACACCGCTTCACTATTCATCACTTATATAGGTGTTACACCGCTTCACTATTCACCACTTATATAGGTGTTACACCGCTTCACTATTCATCACTTACATAGGTGTTACACCGCTTCACTATTCATCTTTTAAAGGTGTGTTATACTACTTCAACATTCATAACTTATAGACAGTTGAGAGTAATCTCCCCTTACTTGGTGCAGTCAGAGAGAACGATAGAGCAACTGTTGACCAATCGGAGCTGCTCATCTTTGATGTGGACGAGTCTCTGCAAGTCTCGTCTGTGTTCCTGTATATGCTCCTCCGACAGATCCTGGTAACAGAGTGAGTGAGTGAGTGAGTTAATGAGTTTAGAACGTTGTAACCTTTTTTAGATATCTTTCTATCTTCAGAAAGAAGATGAACCCTTTAACTAGCAGAAACAGAATCACATTTTGTCAGAGTGTTGATCCAAGGTTGTAATGATGACATGAACACTGTCAATAAAATACCACCTGTGATGAATGATGAAGTTGTCCAAGCACAGGCGGTTGGTTGGATCCAAGGATATAGTCAGGAAGAATCTGTTATCCCATGCCCCTGCATTTACTGTGTAGATGTGTTGTCAGCCAATCTCTGATATATGCAGGAACAACTTTTCAGTCACTCACACATTCTTGCACTCATCCATTCATTTGTTCCTTCTCTCTCTGATCTTACGACTGCATTTCTCATTCAGTCACTCCCTCACTCACACAGTGGACGTACCATGTAGTTACGTTTGAGTGAGGACACCAGTGTACTGATCTGGGCCAGCACAGGCAAGTCGTGCAGCATCTCGTTCAGGTCCGCGTCAGGCTTATCTGCGAACAGGTGGAAGGGGTCTTCCTCAGGCTTATCTGCAACATCCACAATAACATATATACTGACTTCCTTAATCTCAGTGAAAACTGTTGTACTTCCAATCTTGATCAGCTAATTCTCATACTTTAGATATCACATTCTTATTTAAGCTGGACTGTTTGAGTGATTGTTAGTTGTTTAACGCCGCACTCAGCAATATTCCAGGTGTCTGATGGCTGCCTGTAAATAATCAAGACAGACAATCCAGTGATCAGCCTATTCAAATTGGAACACTGTACAATCCAGTGATCAGCCATCATGGTTTAAGAAAGAAAAGCAGTTACTAAAGTCTATTAATGTTGTGATATGTTACCATGTCTGACAGATTGATGATACCAGTAGACCATCAGTATCACCAACAGCAGGCTTCAAACACGGGAACATGAGGGTAATCTAAACCAAAGTGTCCAGTAAATGCTGTTTATCATCTAATGGAGGGTGTTTTCGGTGCAATAAAGCAATCTGATAAACTTGGTATCCAAATCTGATAACTCGCCAAAGGCTCGCATAATACAGTTTTTATTCCTAATATATGATATTAATGAAATGGAAACACACTCGGTTAATAATCTCTATATCCACTAGGCTATATCCCCAGTCCTTGTCATTAATGAATCCATCCATTCTCACTGTAAGCATGCAGTGCCATACATGGCCAAATCTGCCAAAAAGTTATCTCCCTTGTATCACAAGTCCCATGAAAACACTGTATATTACTGCCAGTGTTGCTTTCATCCCATCTAAGGGCGTTGAGGTAGCCTAGTGGATACAGTGTTGGCTTGTCATGCTGAAGACCTACGTTCCATTCCCCACATAGGTACAATGTGTGAAGCCTACTTCTGGTGTCCCCTGCAGTGATATTGCTGGAATACTGCTAAAAGTGGCGTAAACCAAAACTCACTCGCTCACACTTCATCTGATCTGAGTAGATGCTCAGTTAACTCCCTTGCATTACAAGTCACATTGTATAACATTGTATATCACTACCAGTGTTCCTGCCTACCTATCCATGTGGAGTAGATGCTCAGTTATCTCCCTTGCACTACAAGTCACATGGTATAACACTGTATATCAGGTTATACTACACTAAATGAGAATCGCTTGCTCACTGAGCGAGATGCGTATGTAAACAAATGAAGAGATAAAGACATGTGACAGCTGTGATTGGATGAAATAGTGTAAGATGTTTATGTTTTTTAAAAGCATGTCCAACCAGTAATTAAAACTGACCACAATTTTAAGTATTCAGTGCTGTGATTTTCATCACCATGACTTATGCTTATTGTGTGTACAGATATTTTCCAGTAGGTGACATTTGGTGCGGATCTGGGGTTGATGTGTTCCGCTTCCTGTGCTTTCATAAAGCGAGCCGGACAAGTTGGCCAGATAGTGTGTTTTTATGGTAGTTTAAAGGCCAGAGTGTACCCATGTGCACATGGAATGGCTGTTGATAGCCTGGATTATTTTTAAAAAAATATAAGGCTACTATAGAAGTCTATGGGAAAACATTTGGTGTTGTGTAACCTGTAGGGTTCGAGCACTTTTCAGTAATTCATACTTTACATGATTTCCTGTGTTTATTTCACCATGGAAACATGTTAGCATTAATGTAGAGGCAAATTTAAAGGTACTGGGAGTAAAGATAGGGCTGTTTTGAGTGGAATAGATTGTTTTAGTGTCCAGAATATGAGCGTTGCTTCGTTTGTGGTCAGAACAGTGGGAAAAAGACCCTCACGGTGAGTCTTACCATCAAGAAGTGGTTCCCTGGCTTCTAAATTTGTTGGAACTGATGAATTTGACAACAAATTAGGTTAAAATCACCACTGCCACAACAATGTGAGTGTCTAAGTTAATCTCCTGAGGGTCAATTTGAAGTCAAATGATAAGAATATCATGAAATTTGTTCACTGCTGACAGCAGAACATGTCACAAACCCTTGTGTTAAATGCAAACAGTGTAGCATATGATCAATTCTTTCTGCCTGTCCCCTTTTGAATATAAAACGACCTAATTTTCTTTTCCTTTTTAAAATATACCCTTTTTTTCACCCATAGGACTTTCAAAATGAATTTCTGTTTTATTAACAACTGTCTCATTGCTGTTATAGATTTTATGATTTGACATTTAATGTAATCTCAACACTATTTTCAGCTTGTAGAATGCCTGTTGGTGAATGGGGAGGTGTATCTTCACAAATACAGCAGAAAAAGAAGCCTTCACATCCAATGTGGTATTTCGACATGCCGGCCCGAGTCTGTTGTTGGCAGTGTCTAATCAAGCATACTCCTTTGCTTCGATATGCTTCACCGCCTTGTAGAAGTTGCAGTACTTGGACATGTAGGTACATATAGTACATTTAAGTGTCCCAGTCCAGTTAAGGCACCAAAATGTCTCACTACCAAATTCCATCACTCGGTCATCCTCATACATTAGAAATTTCTGACAGTGTCCCCTTAATGCCCTCAGTGTGTAGTATTTCAGCTTCCCAGACATGAAATAAGGGCTGTATATCAATCCCAGAAGCTGCTTAGATGTAAATAATAACAATTGACCCTTGTGGAATGTAATATTATGGGTCTGAATTCACATTTTATTGACATGAGAGTGTTCGATATCTTAAAATTATCTCCCTGTTTACCCAAATACATTGTGTCTTTCTCTAACCCAGTAACCCATAAATTACTGCAGAGAGCTCTGTTTTTAGCTGATATTGTCAAATACTGTTAATTGTAATTAAAAATATTCAGTTTAGGGCAGGGTAACTAATAAATTTCCAAAGTTATGTGGATTTTTCACTTTGTTCCTCTAAACTGGCTTATACATGAAGTTGGCAAGTGTAACAGCCTCAAAACAATACAGTCAATAGTTTTGAATTTCTGGAAGTATTTCAAAGTCTTAGCTTGATGAATCAATAGATTCAAGTGTAAGTTCTTATCATGCTGTGGTCTAAAAAAGTGAATTCATCTGTTGAAAGGGTCATTTGCCTTGATCGAGCTAACAGGCTGCAGGGTACTGTGGTCAGTGTTTCAGACTGCTAGGCATAATCCAACCCCTCACTCATTACATTCTGGCAAAGTTCATCATCCAGCCTTACATATGTCAGGATGTTAAAGCTGCTTTTAATGTTAAACCTGTCCAATTTCTGGCCTGAATTCAATGATTTTTGTCGTTCAAAAATATAGTTTGGATTGATATGATCAAGGCAGTCCCAGTCATGCATGGAATTAACCCATGGCCCCTTTTTGTGAAATAAGAGTAAACTCCCATGGTATATGTATGATTTAAAAACTTTCTCTATTAATGCAGAAGTGCATTTTGTATAGCTTTGGTGAAATAGACATGATATAACTCTTACAGCTCTGTCAGTGCAGCAAATCCATATATTCTTGTGCCATATAGATATGTTGGACAGGAAAAAGTATTGAAGCTTCATGCAGTTTTATATTTTTTCTGAGAAGTTGCATGTATATACAGTACATAAGTCACAGATTTGCCTAGGGCAAATGTTTCTAAATTTTCCTACAGGTTATACTACACTAAATGAGAATCGCTTGCTCACTGAGCTTAGATGCGTATGTAAACAAAATGAAGAGATAAAGACATGTGACAGCTGTGATTGGATGAAATAGTGTAAGATGTTTATGTTTTTAAAAGCATGTCCAACCAGTAATTAAAACTGACCACAATTTTAAGTATTCAGTGCTGTGATTTTTCATCACCATGACTTATGCTTATTGTGTGTACAAATATTTTCCAGTAGGTGACATTTGGTGCGGATCTGGGGTTGATGTGTTCCGCTTCCTGTGCTCTCAAAACGAGCCGGACAAGTTGGCCAGATAGTGTGTTTTTATGGTAGTTTAAAGGCCAGAGTGTACCCATGTGCACATGGAATGGCTGTTGATAGCCTGGATTATTTTTAAAAAAATATAAGGCTACTATAGAAGTCTATGGGAAAACATTTGGTGTTGTGTAACCATCACTACCAGTGTTCCTGCCTACCTATCTGTGTGGAGTAGATGCTGAGTTATCTCCCTTGCATTACAAGTCACATTGTATAACACTGTATATCAATACCAGTGTTCCTGCCTACCTATCTGTGTGGAGTAGATGCTGAGTTATCTCCCTTGCATTACAAGTCACATGGTATAACACTGTATATCAATACCAGTGTTCCTGCCTACCTATCTGTGTGGAGTAGATGCTGAGTTATCTCCCTTGCATTACAAGTCACATGGTATAACACTGTATATCCATACCAGTGTTCCTGCCTACCTATCTGTGTGGAGTAGATGCTGAGTTTCCTCGTCCCCCTTTAACGACGCTCTCCATGTCCGGGGTAATGGCAGAATCCTTCACCTCCAAGTCTCGGAGGTTGGCCATCCACTTCAGCCGATATCGCTCGGTCGAGTAACCACCCTGATCTCTGGAAGGGCAGAGTAATAGAAAACATAAAGCTGGTGCATAAGTGAGGTGTTTTGATCTTCACCAATCAAGCATTCCCAACTACAGGCCACAAAGTAAAACCACCCCATCTCGATAAGCCTGTAGACGACCCATAATAAGCCAGGCCAGCCATCTGGATCCACCCATCTAGATCCACCAGTGGATTGGGAGACCTACACTAAGCCAGGCTGCCAGCTGGAGCCACCCATCTAGATTCACCAGTGGATTGGGAGACCTACAATAAGCCAGGCCAGCCATCTGGATCCACCCATCTATATCCCCCAGTGGATATTGGGAGACCCACACAAGCCAGGCCAGCCATCTGGAGCCACCCATCTAGATCCCCAGTGGATTGGGAGACCTACAATGGAGCCAGGCCAGCCATCTGATCCACCCCATCTATATCCCCCCAGTGGATTGGGAGACCTACAATAAGCCAGGCCAGCCATCTGGAGCCACCCATCCAGATCCACCCAGTGGGTGGATTGGGAGACCTACAATAAGCCAGGCCAGCCATCTGGATCCACCCATCTATATCCCCCAGTGGGATTGGGAGACCACACAAGCCAGGGCTGGGCCATCTGATCCACCCATCCATCTGGATCCACCAGTGGATTGGGAGACCTACAATAAGCCAGGCCAGCCATCTGGAGCCACCCATCTAGATCCACCAGTGGATTGGGAGACCTACAATAAGCCAGGCCAGCCATCTGGATCCACCCATCCATATCCACCAGTGGATTGGGAGACCTACAATAAGCCAGGCCAGCCATCTGGATCCACCCATCTATATCCCCCAGTGGATTGGGAGACCTGGATACACAAGCCAGGCTGCCAGCTGGAGCCACCCATCCAGATCCACCAGTGGATTGGGAGACCTACAATAAGCCAGGCCAGCCATCTGGATCCACCCATCTGGATCCCCCAGTGGATTGGGAGACCTACAATAAGCCAGGCCAGCCATCTGGATCCACCCATCTATATCCCCCAGTGGATTGGGAGACCTACACTAAGCCAGGCCAGCCATCTGGAGCCACCCATCTAGATCCACCAGTGGATTGGGAGACCCACAATAAGCTCAGGCCAGCCATCTGGATCCACCCATCTATATCCCCCAGTGGATTGGGAGACCTACAATAAGCCAGGCCAGCCATCTGGATCCACCCATCTATATCCCCCAGTGGATTGGGAGACCTACAATAAGCCAGGCTGCCAGCTGGAGCCACCCATCCAGATCCACCAGTGGATTGGGAGACCTACAATAAGCCAGGCCAGCCATCTGGATCCACCCATCTGGATCCCCCAGTGGATTGGGAGACCCCTACAATAAGCCAGGCCAGCCATCTGATCCACCTCCATCTAGATCCCCACCCAGTGTGGATTGGGAGACCTACAATAAGCCAGGCCAGCCATCTGGATCCACCCATCTATAAGCCAGGCCAGCCATCTGGATCCACCCATCTAGATCCACCAGTGGATTGGGAGACCTACAATAAGCCAGGCTGCCAGCTGGAGCCACCCATCCAGATCCACCAGTGGATTGGGAGACCTACAATAAGCCAGGCCAGCCATCTGGATCCACCCATCTGGATCCACCCATCTGGATCCCCCAGTGGATTGGGAGACCTACAATAAGCCAGGCCAGCCATCTGGATCCACCCATCTAGATCCACCAGTGGATTGGGAGACCTACAATAAGCCAGGCCAGCTCTTTGCAGCCACCCATCTGGATACACCAGTGGATTGGGAGACCTACAATAAGCCAGGCCAGCTCTTTGCAGCCATCCATCTAGATCCACCAGTGGATTGGGGAGACCTACAATAAGCCAGGCTGCCAGCTGGAGCCACCCATCCAGATCCACCAGTGCATTGGGAGACGCACACTAAGCCAGGCCAGCCGTCTGGAGCCACCCATCTGGATCCACCAGTGGATTGGGAGACCTATAGTAAGCCAGGCCAGCCGTCTGGAGCCACCCATCTAGATCCACCAGTAGGTAGGGAGAACACTACAATCTCAGTGACACTGACTTACTTCGTTCCAACCTTGACGAACATGACACAATCATTCATCAGGAACACTCGGACATTTTTGGACTTCATTGATGCTGTTTCCCCAACCTGAAAATATATAAAAAGTCATAACAACTAAAATAAATTTAAATGTCTGATAAAATGACATTTAAATGGCTCAGCTACAATGAATACAGAGGTCTCACAACATTCTGGCATATCATGTTAGCTCCATATTTAGTAAAGACAAACAAGTTGGGTTCCGTTACCACTTGCTCCATGTCATCTTGTCGCAGTAGTCTCCGCGGACTCTCCGCTGCCTTGATGACACCTTGGTTCAGTTGCCGTGACAACTGACTTGTGATCTGACGGGCCATAAACTTTTGTTCGCTGTGACGTTTCCGTTCATTCAGTTTGTGCGTGACATTCTCGAGTTCTGTGAGAGCCAGCTGTAAAGCTCCTCGGTCATGGTGGGTCTGTGGTGTGAACTTCAGTAAATCCTGCCAACAGAAATGACAAGACTCCTTAAAAAAAATGCAGGCACAATAATCGAGTCTGGACCCGAGAATCCAGAGATCAACAGCATGAGCATCAATCTATGCAACTGGGAAGCAATGACATGCATCAACCAAGTCAGCAAACCTGACCCTCCAATCCAGCGACTGATATCATTCGATGCATATCCTTGCACCATTGTCAAGCAGGAAGCTTCGTTATTCTTAACTGACAACGGTACAAGGATCTGTATCGAGACGTCACACTCACAAAATAAAAGAAGTTGTTATCCATAAAGTTTGTTCAATATCGTACGTCTCAACTTCTAAAATGCCACTCAAAGAGGCAAGATATCTATAACAGGCATTGTCACTAATAATCTCTCGCCGTAAATTATCAAATCAAACTTAAAAAGTAATGAAAGTTTAAGATGAAGTTAAATGTCAACAAAAACATGACCAGTCAACCTCTCTTGAAGTCTTGCTCTTCAGTTGTTCAAACACACAAATATTTTCAAGACTGACTTTGACCGTGACATGAATGTCATAGTGTATGAAATATGCAAAAATGGTACTAAAGAAATTGCTTATTGAACAATATTCAAGGGAAGTCCTGAAAGGCTATGAAGAAAATCCAGTGAATTCAGGTTAACATGCTGAAATCTTCAAAGTGTCATAGTGACCTTGAAAATTATGTGAAGGTCACCAAAATCGACTTGGCTCTGTACCTGCATTAGATGAAGCTTGGTGTCAAATATGAAAAAGATCCAGTGAATTGTTTTTGCGATATCTTGCTGACTATCTTAACATGCAATTTAACATGGTGAAAACTTCAAAGTGTCTTTGTGACCTTGAAAATTAAGTGAAGGTCACCAATATCGACTGGGCCTTGCACTTTCCCTAGATGAAGCTTGGTGTCAAATATGAAGAAAGTCCAGTGAATGGTTCTTGAGATATCTCGCTGACCATCTTAACATGCAGGTTAACACACTGAAATCTTCAAAGTGTCACTGTGACCTTGAAAATTAAGTGAAGGTCACCAAACTCAACTGGGCCCTGCGCCTTCCCTAGATAAAGCTTGGTGTTGAATATGAAGAAAATCTAGTGAACAGTTCTTGAGATATCTCACTGACAAGGGTAAAACGTTAAAGTCCCTTTATGACCTTGAAATTAAGGTCAAGGTCACCAAACCTGACTGGGATCTTTCTTATACAGTGATGAAGCTAGGTACCAAATCTGAAAAGAATCTAGTCAACGGTTCTTAAGATATTCCAATTCTACGTATGTACAGACGGATGGACGGAGCCTAATACTATATCCCCTGCTTCTCGCTAAATGCAAGGTGGGGGATAATAAGTCAGGCAAAAGTGGGAGCTGGATTATAAACAGACACCTGGTTTGTTACCATAGGAGTCCAGTCCAGGGCTCCACCAAGACAATATATAATTAGGATTGAAAATCTTTAACCCATTGCCAGCATGTTACAATGACTTGCCCATAAATAACATAACTAGGTGAAAATAAGCCGATGTTAATGACCAACCTGTAGCAACATGATGAATTGTGGGAACCTCTGCACTGGCTTTACCATCAGCCCAAATATGGACAACCGGTCACTGCTGCTGGACTCCTTCGCCTGAAAACAGGTGAATCATACAGTCATGCCCGGCTTGCAAACCTGCCGACTCTAAAACTGAAACACGCACGCACGCTCACAGGTGAATCATACAGTCATGCCAGGCTTGCAAACCTGCCGACTCTAAAACTGAAACACACACACACGCATGCACGCACTCACTCACGGACGCACGCACGCGCCGACACACACACACACATTAAAAAGATTTCTATAAAATTTATCGTAAAAACTTAAAAACATAACAAATTATTGGGGACTACAATCCAGTGTTAGGCTCATCACGCTGTTCAAAGACCTGGCTTCGATTCCGCACATAGGCATAACATGTGAAGCCCATTTCTGGTGTAACCCGCTGTGCTAGTGCTGGAATAATGTGACAAAATGCATAAACCTACTCATTCACTCACTCACTCTGCTCTTAGTATAAGCACAGTGTTTTGTAGGCCAATTTAAGACCACAATCCATATTGGATTCAGCTCCAGGCATCTTCTCATACCTGCTATCCTCTTTCGACCAAACACATGGTTAACTGTCGGGACTGTGACATACCTTCAAGAATTCGGAGAAGGTCTGTTTCGTCCTCTGTACTGTCTTGATCTCTTCCATCGCTGCAGCGAAGCAGTTGACGTAAATGCTGTAGGAGTTGAGCAACATCGTCTTGGAGAACTGGTATGGAATAAAACATATACTGTATATCATTGTAATAAGCCGATCTCATAGATAAACTGAGGTCTTAACTTGACTCTTAAAATCAGTATCAAAATGCATAAGCCAAACCGCCAACCATTGTTCATCTTCTCGCTGTGTGCAGTAATCACGGGGAAACGAGTGCACAGCTGGTTGCTATTTCCGGCTCTGTGTAGAAGACAAATACGCATGATAATCTTAATCCCTGCATAAAATACAATGCCTAGCAAAAACAACTTAGAACTGGAATGGTAAATAGTATTGTCTTCACTGACAAAGTGGTTTTCTCGTTTGTTCAGATGAAGTTTGACGAAAGTGTAACTAGTAGATCAGCCAACCCCCTTTTACGGACTGCTTTATTTGGGTCTTCAAAATTCGGCTTATCTACAGTCATATATACACTGCCTGGACAGGAATAAAGCCTGAATAAAGGTGTCCATAAACATGACAAGCATCAACAAGAACACGATGTCAACAGATATGCAGCTACAACTTGTAGCTGAAACTTAGATTTGTTTACGAATACATCAACATGCATGGTACTTGACAGAACAGTAGGCTTGAATGATTACCTGAAAAACAGTAATATGTTTATGATGGATAAAGTACTTAATCCTTACAAGGATGCAAATTCCACATGTCAGATTACTGTAATATTTAAAGCGTTTACCCAATACAGTCCACCCAGCTGTGAATGGGTACCTCGTTAGGATGAGAAAGCCACAATAACTCGGTGCGCCTAGTGGCTGCAAGAGTTGTATACTCCCCAGGGAGTTGAGATTGATAATACGATGTGCCATTGAGATTGACATCCAATGATCGAGGGGAAAAAAATATTAGCGTCTTTAGCAAGCACTAGTTGCCTGGATATGTGCTCTATATAAGTATCATATAATAATAATAATAATAATCTTATGCAGAAAAAACAACAGAAAGAGTTTTGTTTTACAGACAACAGATTATGATGTCCTAACAGTTAGTGAGTGAGTGAGGTTATGCAGAGTAAACTAGAACTCGCTTTAATTTCTTTAGGAGAGCTGATTTCATGTCAGTGGTTCAGTGTGGTTCCAAAGTCAAATAACTATTATTAAATCTACACGCATCCTTGCTCTACATTGAAACTTATACAAACCTGTAGAGGTTATGAATTCTTTGAAGAAAGTCCTCCTTGGGGTACATATAAGCATTAAAATGTCCATTTCAAATCCTACGGTACAGTTGTAACTATATTTTAATAAAATATTTACAAAACAAAAACTCGCTTTGTTCCTAGAGACCTACAGTCATGCCCGCTTGCAAACCTGCCGAATCTAAAACTGAAACACGCACGCGACGCCACAGGTAAATCATACAGTCATGCCTGGCTTGCAAACCTGCCGACTCTAAACTGAAACACGCGACGACGACGCCACAGGTGAATCATACAGTCATGCCCGCTTGCAAACCTGCCGAATTTAAACTGAAACACGCGATGCACGCCACAGGTGAATCATATACAGTCGCGCAGGCTTGGGCTAAACCTGCCGAATTTTAAACTGAAACACGCACGACGCCACAGGTGAATCATACAGTCATGCCCGGGCTTGCAAACCTGCCTAATTTAAACTGAAACACGCGACGACGCCACAGGTGAATCATACTGTCATGCCAGGCTTGCAAACCTGCTTACTCTAAACGGAAACATGCGCGACGCATCGCCACAGGTGAATCATACAGTCCTGCCAGGCTTGCAAACCTGCTTCACTTAAAACTGAAACGCACGACGCGACGCGACGCGATGCATCGCGCATCGCGACGCGACGCATGCACTCACTCACTGGACGACACACACACACACACATTAAAAAGATTTCTATAAAATTTATCGTGAAAACTTAAAAACATAACGAATTATTGGGGACTACAATCCAGTGTTAGGCTCATCACGCTGTTCAAAGACCTGGCTTCGTTTCCGCACATGGGCATAACATGTGAAGCCCATTTCTGGTGTAACCCGCTGTGCTAGTGCTGGAATAATGTGACAAAATGCATAAACCTACTCATTCACTCACTCACTCTGCTCTTAGTATAAGCACAGTGTTTTGTAGGCCAATTTAAGACCACAATCCATATTGGATTCAGCTCCAGGCATCTTCTCAGACCTGCTATCCTCTTTCGACCAAACACATGGTTAACTGTCGACGAGAGCATGACTCACTCTCTGTGACATACCTTCAAGAATTCGGAGAAGGTCTGTTTCGTCCTCTGCACTGTCTTGATCTCTTCCATCGCTGCAGCGAAGCAGTTGACGTAAATGCTGTAGGAGTTGAGCAACATCGTCTTGGAGAACTGGTATGGAATAAAACATATACTGTATATCATTGTAATAAGCCGATCTCATAGATAAACTGAGGTCTTAACTTGACTCTTAAAATCAGTATCAAAATGCATAAGCCGAACCGCCAACCATTGTTCATCTTCTCGTTGTGTGCAGTAATCACGGGGAAACGTGCACAGCTGGTTGCTATTTCCGGCTCTGTGTAGAAGACAAATACGCATGGTAATCTTAATCCCTGCATAAAATACAATGCCTAGCAAAAACAATTTAGAACTGGAATGGTAAATATTATTGTCTTCACTGACAAAGTGGTTTTCTCTTGTTCGTTCACATGAAGTTTGACGAAAGTGTAACCAGTAGATAAGCCGACCCCCTTTTACAGACTACTTTTTTTGGTCCTCAAAATTTGGCTTATCTACAGTCATATACACACTGCCTGGACAGGAATAAAGCCTCAATAAACATGACAAGCATCAAGAAGAACAAGATGTCAACAGATATACAGCTACAACTTGTAGCTGAAACTATTTGTTTACGAATACATCATCATGCATGCTACATGACAGGACAGTAGGATTGAAAGATTACCTGAAAAACAGTAACATGTTTATGATTGATAAAGTACTTAATCCTTACAAGGATGCAAAATCCACATGTCAGATTACTGTAATATTTAAAGTGTTTACCCAACACATCTTAGGCAGAAAACACAACAGAAAGAGTTTTGTTTTACAGACAACAGATTATGATGTCCTAACAGTTAGTGACTGACTGACTGACTGAGTTTAGTTTTACGCCGCTTTTAGCAATATTCCAGCAATATCACGGCGGGGGACACCAGAAATGGGCTTAACACATTGTGCCCATGTGGGGAATCGAACCCGGGTCTTCGGCGTGACGAGCCAACGCTTTCACCACTAGGCTACCCCACTGCCCCCCTAACAGTTAGTGAGTGAGTGAGGTTATGCAGAGTAACCTAGAACTCGCTTTAATTTCTTTAGGAGAGCTGATTTCATGTCAGTGGTTCAGTGTGGTTCCAAAGTCAAATAACTATTATTAAATCTACATGCATCCTTGCTCTACATTGAAACTCCTACATGTGATTCAATTACTCAAAATGAAGCAAATGAACTTTAAGGACGATGTAGTGTTAGTAGTTGAGGTAGAGGACGTAACCGATGCTGTGAAGATGTCTCCGATCTTCCCTCCTGGTCCCACTTCCTGACACGGTCAGCCAGTTCGATCTGGAACATCTTGTGGTGGCTCAGGATCTGCTCAGCCTCGGCGAACACCATCTTCACGTGACTGCGTGGGGAGGCTATGTTCTCCAACACCACTTTCATGTAATCCTTCAAGAAAGTAATTATTATCAGCTTTAAGATTTTAATCATGATGTTTGTTTGTTGTTAAATGCCACAATCAGCAATATTCCTGCTTTATGGCGATGGTCGTACACCCTTAATGTCAAGTCAGTAATGTTCAAATAAATATGTGATAAAACCTTTAAATGTAAAAAAGGAATTATGCCCCCTGAACTCCCCATTCCAAATATATAATGAGTCCCTACAGTCTTACCACAATCTCATACGTGATTACCTAAACATTTAGCTCTATTAGACAGGCCTACAAAAGAAAACTTTCCCACTGTGCAGAAAAACTCAGAAAAGCCCACATTAATCGTGGAAATAGCAACATAAACATAATACCTCGCTACTGAAACAGTACGTTCAAACATAGGCTGGCTATGACTGACTGACTGAGTTTGGTTTTACGCCGCTTTTAGCAATATTCCAGCAATATCACGGCGGGGGACACCAGAAATGGGCTTCACACATTGTGCCCATGTGGGGATTCGAACCCGGGTATTCGGCGTGACGAGCCAACGCTTTAACCATTAGGCTACCCCACCGCCCGGCTGGCTATAAGCCGTCGCCACATGTAGAACGCAACGTCACAGAAGAAACGTGACGTCATAGCCTTGTTCATGATGTCACGTCACCATGGCAAAGTGATACTTTGCCCTAGGGCATCGTATGAAAAATATGAACCCCGATATCTTCGCCCTCGTAGGTAATATAGTCACATATTTCTTCATAAAACACTTAGGAACTTATGTTAATCCTAATGTATCTGAAAACAATAAGCCATATAAGGAGACGAATACAAAGCACTGTTCATCTTCCTCAGCCAGGCACTTTAGGAGGGGAACATTTTGACATCATTTTGATGAGAAATTTAACAAATGATCAATACAAGGTGATAATTAAAAACAAAACCCTGAACATATGACCCAATGTTGAATCACACAACAAATATTTTGTTCACTAACGGTGCTGTATGTGGGTTAGAATCGGTCCCCTGTAACCTATTCTTGTCATAAGAGGTTACTAAATATTCCAGTGGGCCATGTTGGAAACTTGATTGAATTCATGTCCCTGCCCCCCGATGACATGTCCTGCTGCTCGTAAAGTCCATCACTGATTTGCATGGTGCATGAGTGAGTTTAGTTTTACGCCGCTTTTAGCAATATTCCAGCAATATCACGGCTGGGGGACACCGAAAATGGGCTTCACACATTGTACCCATGTGGGGAATCGAACCTGGGTCTTAGGGTGACGAACAAACACTGTAACCACTAGGCTACCCCACCACCCCGATCTGCATGGTATCAACTCATGTACTTACTGACGGCCATTTTACATCAAGAGCAACATGTGCAAACAAACAAACAAACCAAAAGGCAGCGATTTCAAGAATCATTTCAATTCATCCTACCTCTGTTATCCGTTCCAAAGCATTGATGTAGGACTTCTCACTCGATATAGTCAAATCAACAACACATCGCCTTTTTTTCTGGAACACAACATTTTGAACCAAGCTGAATATTCAATCGCAATAACAATGGCATCTTTAAAGTCTTATTATCACACATCAATAAATATTCAGCAATTGTCATTTCATGTCTAGGTAAGTCAAATGACTTCTAGGCTTGTTATTCTTTAAATGGACTGCCTCCGTGGTGTAGTGATTAGAGCTTCCGCCCGGAGAGCGGAAGATCGCGGGTTCGATCCCCGACCGCGTCATACCAAAAGACGTTAAAATATGGTACTTGTTGGTCCCTGCCTGGCACTCAGCATTATTGGGTACAACAAGGACTGGTCGGCTCGGAGTCAGTATAATGTGTCTGAGTGGGGTATTCATGCTTCACTGCGGCATGGTATCTCAGTGAGCTAGCTCTATAAAACCAGCTTCAGTCTGGGCTAGTACAAGCAGCCGCACATACACATACACACGCATGCACGTCGTCATATGAGCGAAATATTCTCAAGCACGACGTTAAACCCAATTTCACCTCACACCTATTCTTTTAATACACTGTTAACTCTCCAGCGGAACCATATACATTTTGAATTATATTACAACTTGAATTCATGCAAAATGCCAAAAAATACAAAATTTAAGCAAGTGTTGAAACATCATTTTATAAAAAGGAAATTCTTTTTGCATACAAATTAACAGATTCTGGTACGTAGTTACAGCTAGATGACCGAGTAGTCTCACCTGACTTTCAGAAAGGTCATCCGAAGGGGGAGGTAACTCTGGGGGTGGATGTTTTGAAGGGTTAAGATCAACAGGAAAGCATCTAGTGTCCTCTTCCATGGTAACATTATTTTTCCTCGCCAAACTTCGAATTCGTTTGATAATATGGTGACCCTTGGAAAACAAAAATGCATGCATGAATAAGCAAGTAGACAAGCACTTAATGAAGGATTTCAGTTTATTTGAGTGAGTGAGGGTGAGAGTGAGTGAGTGAGTGAGAGTGAGTGAGTGAGTGAGTGAGTGAGGAGGTTTAACACTGCTTTTAGCAATAATCCAGAAATGGGCTTCACACATTGTACCCATGTAGGGAATCAAAGCCGAATCTTTGTCGTGATGAGCGAATGCTTTAACTGTGATTCTATCTCACAAAGTATGTGATCTTGCCTAACATCAGACTTCCATTTCAGTGGAAGTGTCAGTGAGTGAGTGGGTTAGATCACTGACTTTGTATGCTTCTTTGCTTTGTAACTTCTAAAAATGTCACTTAAAGAAGTTTAATTACTTGTATCGCAACAATCTTACCCCCAATTACCTGTTTGTTTTGTTAACAAGTTTACTCCAACTAACTGTTTCAAAAAGAATATATGCTAATTACCTGTTTGGGTTCTGGAGGTAGAGGTTTGGCTGGGGCCTGTTCCAAGACCTCATCGTCCCCTGATTCCTCGAACTCGGAGGACCCCCACCCATCGTCAGACAGGTGTATGGAGCTTATGGACTCGTACAGCTTATCCTGAGACACGGGAGCAACAGTCTCAGCCTCCGGTGAAGCGTCTTGTTCAGGAAAGTCTGAAGACAAAAAATAACTACATCAATGCACTGCATTGTTTCCATGACAACTACAGCCAAACACTCTAGAAACATGTGAGTGGATACTGAAGCCAGTCAGCATTCCCCATTCTGTAACCAGACAGTGTGTGAAATATTCTCATAATATTGCTGGCCAAGTGGATACCCAGTCTTAAAAGTAACAAGACAGTTTCAAATAAATCAATTAATAAAATAATGACTGCATATTTAAAAGAAATATATTAATTTGGCGAAGGTTTCATTTAAGTGATACCAAACTGAAAATCATCGGTCAAATATTATGCAGGGGTAACTGTGAGCACATTCCTTTGTTAAGGGATGTCCTTTTTCTTATTGATGGTCCTTGTGATCTCACAGGCTCTGGAAGAAAACCCTCTCACCTGCACAGCAAAGACCATCCTATACTTTGAGAGTGGGATATAAATGGTGATTCACATAGAACAAGTAGCTAAAAGGCTAATCAAAATGATGCAGTCACCTAAAGGGAGTGAGTTGGTGCGGCAATATTCCAACAACATCTTGGTAGTGGATGCCAGAAACAGGCATCCTACATTTTGACCAAGATAGGAATAGAACCTGAGTCTTCAGTGAACACATTAACCATAGGGCTACCCTAGCACTCAATGAGTGAGTGAATGAGTTAAGTTTTACACCACTATTAGCAATATCCCAGAAATATCACTGAAAGGGACACCAGAAATGGTCTTCACACATTGTACCCATGTGGGAATTGAACCTGGGTCATTGGGGCGGCAAGCGAACGCTTTCACCAGTAGGCTACCTAAGCACTCAGTGATAACAGGCTGTGCAACAGACATCTTGATGATCTTCACTGATCTGAAAACATTCACACTAGGACTGTTACTAGTACACACAAAACCATGAAACCCTTCAGCATCAATACATGGAAAACATACATGGAAAACATACATGGAAAACATACTGGAAAAGTTTTCAAAATGAAATGAATTCAATACGTCAAATTAGTTGACCTTTTTGCAACTTGACATGTTTGTGACGTTTGTGATGAAACTTGATATGCTTGAGGCTGGTTGCCGATGCAGAACGGAGACGAGAAAACAACGACATCGAATGTCATCTCATCGGAAGACCAATCATAGTCTCAAGTCTTCCTGGCTGAGCATCTGACAACAATACATACAACTGCCACAACTCGGAAACACAGGAAGTCAGAGAACAATTGGCCTCATTACAACTTCCACAAACTTGATAAGCATTAGACTCACATGACAACAAAACACATCCTGCACAATTTCCGACAAAAATGTATTTATACCGATAAATAACCATGACAACTCGTGTTACTGCAAATGTTGAACTTATATCCATGGGAGTTCATGGTATGACACATATTCCATTTAGAAGTCAGTTCAGGAGAATATGGAAACCAGGAGTTGAATATGTTGATGGAGATGTGAGTGTTGATTGGTCGGGGAAGGGTCAGTGTTGATTGTTTGGAGCGGAGTCAGTGTTGATTGGTTGGAGTGGAGTCAGTGTTGATTGGTCAGAGCGGAGTCAGTGTTGATTGGTCAGAGTGGAGACAGTTTTGATTGGTCGGAGTGGAATCAGTGTTGATTGGTCGGAGTGGAGTCAGTTTTGATTGGTCGGAGTGGAGTCAGTGTTGATTGGTCGGAGTGGAGTCAGTGTTGATTGGTCGGAAAAGGGTCAGTGTTGATTGGTCAGAGTGGAGTCAGTGTTGATTGGTCAGAGCGGAGTCAGTGTTGATTGGTCAGAGTGGAGTCAGAGTTGATTGGTCAGAGTGGAGTCAGTGTTGATTGGTCGGAGAAGGGTCAGTGTTGATTGGTCAGAGTGAAGTCAGTGTTGATTGGTCGGAGTGGAGTCAGTGTTGATTGGTCGGAGCGGAGTCAGTTTTGATTGGTCGGAGTGGAGTCAGTGTTGATTGGTTAGAGTGGAGTCAGTGTTGATTGGTCAGAAAAGGGTCAGTGTTGATTGGTCAGAGTGGAGTCAGTGTTGATTGGTCAGAGCGGAGTCAGTGTTGATTGGTCAGAGTGGAGTCAGTGTTGATTGGTCAGAGTGGAGTCAGAGTTGATTGGTCAGAGTGGAGTCAGTGTTGATTGGTCGGAGAAGGGTCAGTGTTGATTGGTCAGAGTGAAGTCAGTGTTGATTGGTAGGAGTGGAGTCAGTGTTGATTGGTCGGAGTGGAGTCAGTGTTGATTGGTCGGAGTGGAGTCAGTGTTGATTGGTCGGTGTGGAGTCAGCGTTGATTGGTCGGAGTGTTTGTTTGTTGTTTAACGTCACACTCAATATTATAGCAATACTCCAGCTATATGGCACTGATCTGTAAATAATCTAGTCTGGACCACTCAGCAATATTCCAGCTATATTGGTGGCAGTCTGTAAATAATCATGTCTGGACCAGAAAACCATGTGATCAACAGCATGGGCATCGATCTGTGCAATTAGGATATGATGACATGTGTCAATCAAGTCAGTGTGCCTGACCACCCGATCCTGTTAGTCATCTCTTATGACAAGCTTGGACTCCATTCTACCTCGTATCTTCACAGGTTTGACAGCACTGGGAAGTTATAAGGAAATATAACACACCCATACAGATATAACTATATATAACAACCAAGCATTATATCCATTATCACCACCATCACAGACTATATCTTCAAATCCTTCACAATGTTTGACAATGTCTGAGAATCCTTGGAATCTATCCCACCCAGAAGACACACAAAACGTTCGTACATCTTCACACAAGGACAAAGGCACTAAAGAAATTCAACCAAAAATGCGTTCTGTGGGCTAAAACCATCCATGTTGTAGACCGCAAAGAATGAGGTTAATCCTCTTACAAATGTTCCTAATCAGACCATCAACACACACACCACACACCAACTACTACACCCACTTCAACGAGGACATCCTCTGTCACCTTCACCTCAGGTGAAAGGTCGGGCTATTTCCACGAGAGATCAATCCCAAAGTGACAGGTGCCCTCAAAAGTCAGACCTGAATGTGGAACGATGACTCTCCCTACCATCGCTGACATGTGTAATTAAAGACAAATATCCGCTATTGACTGGGTCGTCAAAGTGTGAAACAGACTTAATGAGTCAGTATAAGAAACACCAACACTGACAACCACTTCCTCATACCAGACCTCCCATGACGACCTCTCACCTGAACATACAACCTACCAGTTTCAGGTTCATAGGGGATTCAAGTTTAAAATAAAATGTGTCCCCAACAACCTATACTGGTCATATGAGGCAACCAAATGGATCAGGGGCGGTGGCGTTCGCTTGTCATGCTGAAGACACATCTGCCATGGTACATGCTTCACATCTCCTTTGAAACAGCATTTCCTTCTGACAACACGGGCGGTGGGGTAGCCCAATGGTTAAAGTGTCCGCTCATCATGCTAAAGACCTGGGTTCGATTCCCAACATGGGTACTATGTGTGAAGCCCATTTCTGATGTCCCCTGCCGTGATATTGCTGGAATATTGATAAAAGCCGTGTAAAACTATACTCACTCACTCACCCAAATGGATCATGTGGTCAGCCTCAGTAACTTGGTATATTTTCTATCATTGTATCTCAAAGGCGTGGGGCATTCCTCGTAATATCAGACATTTTATTTTAATTTATGGACGTCGACTTCTGTAACATGTTTCTGAGTATATTCTTACTCCTTCATCTGTTTATGTACAGTACATGAGTGAGTGAGTAAGTGAGAGTGAGTGAGATAGATGGAAAAAGTTTCAACATTCATTCCTCTCCTCCAAACAGCAAATCCTAGATACTGTCTTCCAAACCACACACTATAAAGACAAGGTACAAACAGACACATATTAACCAGTAACTGCATGAATCTGACCTGCATGTTTGGGCGATTAGGAGATCTTGTAAACTATGCCACAAAACAATATTCCAACACATCCACATTCCTTTCTCCAAGAAACACTTCCAAATCCTCTTTTCTTCACAAAAGAGGAAAAACTGTCCCAAATTAACTCAAAAAATTACAAACAACCCAATCTGTTTGCTGGGAACTCGAGAAACAATCACAAGCTTTCAAGCTGGTGTGACCACCCCAACGGTTGACCTGTGAAATGAAAGTGAGGCTACTTCTGGTAAATACGACAGAATGGCTGCCAGTCAGGTAGTATCAATACTGGACAACAGGATTAAACTCTGTACCTTTCTTGACTTGATTAAACAATGTAATTTAACTTGTAAACAGACTTTAAACGTTCTTGTTTCATCAGACAATGTTTTGGGGTTTTTTTAACTCTGGAAGTGTGACAGGACCCAAGCATCACAACAGATACGGTATATTTGCCACTAGTTTTTATACCATCTCATATGTTCCTAATGTCTGCTGGACAGAGCATTAAATTCACGTTTACACATTAATAGTGAGTGAGTGAGTTTAGTTTTACGCCACACTCAGCAATATTCCAGCTATATGGCGGTGGTCTGTAAACAATCGAGTCTGGACCAGACAATCCAGTGATCAACAGCATGAGCATTGTTCTGCGCAATAGGGAACCGATGACATGTGTCAACCAAGTCAGCAAGCCTGACCACCCGATCCCATTAGTCACCTCTTACGACAAGCATTGTTGCTTTTTGTGGCAAGCATGGGTTGCTGAAGACCTATTCTACCCCGGATCTTCACGGGTCACACATTAATAACATTTGATGATTTAATGTACATGTCCAAGTGAAAACAAAAAGGAGTTAACTTTAACTACCACACAAAAATCCAGGATGGCAACCAGGATAAATCAAGGATTGCAAGCAGGGCCTAGATTTTTATTGCTCTCTTAGCACTAAGATAGTCATAAGTGCCATTCATTAACAATAATAACATTAACTTACGACTATCTAAGCGCTAAGAGAGCTTCGAAAATCTAGGCCCAGGACTGTAAATCCAGGATCACATCCATGATACGTAACCAGAATATATCCAGGATTGGA